TAGTTGTTCGGCGTGGAGGCTTTCTATAATGCTGCGCAAATTGCTGATACTGCCACCCGAATCAATGTTGTAGTGCCGCTGTTATGAATACCAGCTTTGGAGTGGTGTCGACGCACACTATAGTCAGAGGGGACTCCGGAAGGGATATCACGTGCGAATGACGGGACCTGGACAACTGTCACGAACAAGCAACCTCAATCTTCGAAGTAGCTACGGTACGCACATGGATGGAGTGGGGCGTAGCCTTGCGAACCAGATTCGAGCATGTATCCACCTCTGCTCACATGAAGTTGCGTGCCTGGAAACAGTTGACAACGGTCTAAGACTACACAACGACGTTCTGCGCTTAGGCCGACCAAGTGGACGACATGGGCAACGCGGAGTGGCTCGACAAGTAAGTGTACGAGATTTGTTACGAGGTGCGATGAACGAGGCCGCGCGATTTCAACGATGCTGTCCAATTGGCCGAATCAACGGACGCGCTGATGTAGTGGGCGAGAACTGAGTTCCCGGGAGGGAAATTGTTTTTGCGTATCGCCTCAACAGCCCACGATAAACGATGTGGATGCACGTAGACGAGCCTTAGAGCCGTGCTTTAACTGCAACCGACCGGGCCGCTGGAGGAAAGACTGCCCGAAGCTGAAACAGGGGAACAGGAACGACAGAGAGGGGTCGGGAAAAGAGATGAGTCAGTAGCAGTCAGGCCACTTACTGACGAGACCCCGTCGCCTGGCAGTCACCATCCACACCGAGTAGTGGGTACCAATACGGGTTCGACCGCGACCGGACGAATAAAGCGGATGAACATGTGGATCACCCCGTGCTGGTCCTAGGGAGGGTTAATGGGTATAAAATAAAATATTTATTGACGGAGGGGCTAGCCACAGTCTCATCAATCTGCCAACAGAAAAAAAAAACAAGCAGAGTCAAGCTGGACAAGTGTCTGCCGGAGATCGACAGTGTAATGATTTTCTTGCCATTCCTTACCGCATGTTTCAACACCGCGTACAGCAGCAGCCGTATCTCGCCCGTAACTGCTAACGGGGCTTCGCCCAACTTCGCGCGCACTGTTTAACCAAACCATGCACCGCTGCCCCGGCCGAGTCAGCCTACGCTTCAAGACCAGCCCACACCTCGATGCCAGCTTAGCACCAGCTTGCTCGCACGCACCATGTTACCGTTTGCTTGCATGTTTCGCATATAAGTTTTCGTTCATGCCTTCGCTCATACTTTGTACTCGTTTGACACCTAGTGCAATCCTCGCTATCTCGTTCCAGTGTACTCGTAACAGTCTGAAAATCATAACGTAGGACTGATTTGGTCTGATAATGTAACAAGAAGCCTGGGTGCTGGTCTGGGGTTGTCAAGTCCGAAGGCGATGCGGCCAGTAGGGAGGGAAGGTTGCAGGATTTTCCTTACAGATTCTTTATTAGGGTTTACTACGGTGGTGTTCTCTAGGCACTGGCGAGGGGGGAGCGAGGGGAAATACGCCACTAGCCTTGTTGCTGAGTCTGAGTCTGTCTGTCCTCCGTCCGTCGGGGGTGAGTGTGCTCTTGGCACGGACGTCCTTGAGGACAGACAGGAGGAGTTCCAGTGCTTTGCTGCTGCTTTACCCCACCTCGTGTCCATGCTAGTTGCCCCTGAGGGAGACCCGGATGCACCAGACATCCCGACCCCGCGCACTTACGCAGAGGCGATGGCGGGTCCCTACTCCTCTCAGTGGCAGACAGCCATGGACGCAGAGATGGCTTCCTGGAAGTCCACAGGCACCTACGTCGACGAGGTTCCCCCACCTGGGGTGAACATCGTCAGTGGCATGTGGATTTTCAGGGTGAAGCGGCCACCGGGTTCTCCTCCTGTCTTCAAGGCGCGCTACGTGGCTCGAGGCTTCAGTCAGCGAGAGGGAGTTGACTTCTTTCAGACCTTCTCCCCCACCCCGAAGATGACCACTCTTCGGGTGCTGCTGCACATAGCCGTTCAGCGCGACTACGAGCTTCACTCACTTGACTTCAGCACTGCTTTCTTGCAGGGCAGCCTGCACGAGGAGATCTGGCTGCGCCGCCCTCTTGGCTTCACTGGGTCGGTTCCTCCTGGTACCCAGTGGAGGCTTCAGCGGCCGGTCTACGGTCTCCGCCAGGCACCGCGTGAGTGGCACGACACACTGAGGACGACACTTGCGGCTCTTGGGTTCGCTCCCTCTACTGCTGACCCGTCACTGTTTCTACGCACAGACACCTCACTGCCGCCGTTCTACATCCTCGTGTACGTCGACGACTTGGTCTTTGCCACTGCTGACACCGCGGCACTCGCCCACGTGAAGTCGGAGCTGCAGAGGAGACACACGTGCACAGACCTAGGTGAACTGACAAGCTATCTTGGCTTGCGGATCACCCGGGACAGAGCACGGCGCACCATCACCTTGACTCAGTCACACATGGTGCAGCAGATCCTTCAGCGCTTCCGCTTCACGTACTCCTCGCCTCAGTCCACTCCTCTGCCTACCGGTCACTCGCTCTCAGCTCTGCCTTCGGATGAGTCCGTAGAGCCGAGTGGCCCGTATCCAGAGCTTGTGGGCTGCCTCATGTACCTGATGACCTGCACTCGACCTGACCTTGCATACCCTCTTAGCATCCTTGCACGCTATGTCGCTCCTGGCCGTCACAGGAAGGAGCACATGGATGCCGCTAAGAGGGTGTTGCGCTACTTGTGCAGTACGTCGGGCATGGGGCTAGTGCTTGGAGGGCGAGACCGAGTTGTACTTACTGGACACTCAGACGCTTCTTGGGCGGACGACCAGGCTACTCAGCGGTCGTCTCAGGGTTACACCTTCAGCCTTGGCTCCGGCTCAGTTTCTTGGCGTTCTACACGCTCTTCTTCTGTTCTCAGCTCCAGTTGTGAGGCTGAGATCTACGCCACAGCCATGGCTGCCCAGGAGCTACGCTGGCTGACCTACCTGCTGACCGACTTGGGAGAGCGGCCTCGTTCTCCTCCAGTGCTGTACGTCGACAACCAGGCTGCCATTGCCTTGTGTGAGGAGCACAAACTGGAGCACAGAACGAAGCACATCGCCCTGCGGTACTTCCTTGCTCGAGAGCTGCAGCAGCGTGGTCAGCTTCGTCTGCGTTACGTGGCCACTGAGGCCAACCTTGCTGATGTGTTCACCAAGGCGCTTCAGCCTTGTGACCATCAGCGTTTCTGTACTCTTCTAGGCCTTGTGCCTGCTGGACCTCACTTACTTACTTCTTGACTCTGCTTGTACTGTGATCTTTATATATATGCCTGCATGTTTACACTTGCTAGGTTGTGATCACTGTATCTCTTGTTATATTATCAACCTGCATGTGAACTGGTCTTGTGACCACTTGCTTGTGCTCGGAATTTGCGCGGTATCCTTGAGATCCACCCTGAGCTTGTTTTTGCTTTGCTTTGATTGGTCTTGTGACCCCTTGCTCTCCCCCACTTTGCCTATGGGGGTGTGTCAAACATTATATATGTTGTGTTTGTTTAGGCTACAGTGGGTTAGCCTATAGGGGGTACACAATTCTAGGGTTAGGTACTTGTACTGATTTCACTGCTAGTTCATTCATTCCTGTCTGTTGATTCCGACAGGTTCGACACGACGGTCAGCTCGGGAAACCGTGCCGAGCCTCCTATTTGCCCTCCGAACCAAACCGAAGGTAAATGGCAATAGAACGCTCATTTACCCTCAGGGATGTGCACCCTTTGGAAGGTTCCCATTTACCCTCCCCACCTTCCTCATCGGGCAATTTTTTTCTCCCTCACCTTAACCACTCCTCACGGGCATGTGGGACAGGCATGTGAGGGAGGTGCTGGGGAGGGGAAACCGACATTCCACCCGTGAAACTAACGACTGCTTGAGGGATTCTCCCTCCCACACGCACAGGACTCGGAAAAAAAAAAAAAAAACCACGTCCCCTTCTTAGAGCAAACCCTAGTCAGTTTGTACCCTAGAGGTTGGATTGTTGAAGGTGACTTCTGTTTTCCGACAAGAAGTAACCCTGGTTTTGTTTGTACCCTGTCTTGCTTGTTAGCGCGAAATGAACTACCCCCGTTTCTAGACCAGGAAAATGTCCCCACATGTTCGTCATTTACCGTCAGATCCTTCCCCCCCTGGCGCCTGAAATTTCCCGTCTACAGCTGTAGCGGGAGTTTGTCAAAACCGGCTTGGAAACATCCGCGGAATCATCGTCATTTACATTCGCCCCTCCACCTCCCCCTCTAGCGGGAGTCACCAGAACACCGCCTACAAGCAAGCAAAGAGAATGGAAGTTCACTAACGAATTTTCACTACCAATCGCGGTTCGTAAGCGCAGGCTCCCTCGCAACCCGCTAACTTTTCATCCACGGTTCTTGTTTTTGCGGGGTGCCACTTCAGCACGTCCCATGTGCGATGTGCGCCGATGACGAAAGCATTGGCGACACCGAATCCCCTTCGGGATTGGGTTGATCGTGTGGTTACTAGCTAACTCCATAGTCTTGATCGCGCTTGTTGGAACATTGGCCCTCATCCACGATTGGGACACCAGGCGCGGAATCCATTTCCCTCCCTATGTCAAAACATTCTCGCTCATACGAGTTTGCGTAAACCAGCGAGCCACCCACCCACCCACCCACCCCAGCTCTTGCAACATCAGCGCGTGCCAAGTAGCTTGACAGCAGATAACAGAACAGATGGATGCTTGTCATCGTGACCTCTGTTAGTTGCTCATCCCTTCTTCTACCAGTCCCAGCAGACTCTTTCTGTTCACGCGTTAATGGCACAGTCAACGATGAAGAGTGCTCGCGGTCGCGAGAGCTCTCGCCTGCTGTCACTCCCTGACGAGCTTCTCCAGCCTATTCTCGCGCGCGTCGACCACCCGCGCGATCGCTGCAGCCTCGCTCTCTCCTGCTCTCACCTCCGCTGCCTCTCCCGCCGCACGCCCCACACCCTTTGCCTCCACTTCTTCGCGAAAAAACAAGGCGTCACTGCCCGGGAATGGATGAAGAACCTCGACATTTATTCCGGGATGTTTACCCATGTAATTGACCTCACCGTGGAGGTTAGCTGCACCACCATTGACCAGCTACTGGGGGGAATCGGCGCGGGCTGCCCGAAATTGGAAAGGCTGAAGCTCGTGTCGTTGCGCGGCGACCCGCGGTTTCAGATCAACGCCGCGCCTTGGAGGAAGCTCGCGCGGCAATGCCCGTGAGTGCGGTTTGGTTGTCTTGCCGCGACGGCGGCCCTACTAACACTTTGCTCCCACCCTCTCGTTCTAACAGCTGCGACCGTCTTACCTAGTAGGTCATATTCCTCCGCAAACCGCGTGTCTCGTCTCCTTCGTCCTATAGCTTCTGGAAACTTTTTTATTCTCTCTTCTTCACCATGCCACGGAAACGCGTGGCTCACTTTATTCTTGCGCACGAGGTTCACATTGTACCCTTTGGCTGTGTTCCGCCCTTATAGTCTTTTGTGCCAAGAACGAATGTTAATCGATCCGCAACACGACTCCTAGCATCCAACTCCCGTCATTTCTTTGCACTCATGTGCGCACCGTTTCTTTCCTCCGCTTCGCGACTTACTGTCTTCACGTTCTGTAGGGTGTTTATGAGAATTCTAAAAAAACACCGTGTGCGCCTCGTTTCCTGTCTGCCCTTCGCAGCTCACGCGTCTTACGCAGACCCCGCTCTCTCTCATGTGTCCCTCTCTCCTATTCCCGTCACCCCTTCCTCACCCCTCGCTCTCCGTGCCTCACCAAATTCTCTTCGTCTCACCCTCCCGCCCGTCTTACACCCACATCTTTGATTCTGTTCAATAGCGCCCTTCCCTTCACCATTTCATATTGTCATTTGCAAACCCCCTGAACCGGTTTAACAAACTAGACAGTCATGAGGCATTCTCCTTCCTTCCAAGGGGGCGAACTGCTTACCGTAGCCACTTGAATCATGCGCCACTCATCTTCACCCACCTGGCTCTGCATCCACAACGCCACACCGTCCTTTCAGTTCACTGAAATCAAATTCCCCCTTTTCCCCTTCCCGCCACCTCTCTCCCTTCCGCCCCCCCTCTTATCAGCCGCATAACGTCACTGGAGCTCGACTCCCCACTCTACCGGAGGTCCAACGAGTTCAACGAAACGCCGCCTCCTCCAGTGGACGCCTTCCCCGCACTGCGCTCACTCACCCTCCTCTACGAGCCCTCACACTACCGCTTCATCGCCCGCTGCTCCTCCCTCACCTCCCTCACTCTCTGGTGTCCCAACGCCTACGCGCTCTACTCCCTCGCGTCCCCCTCCTCCCCTCTCCACCTCTCCCTCGCCTCCCTCACCATACATTCCGCTCGCCTCGAAGCTGCCCTCACGCCCATCGCCTCCTTCCCGCGCCTCACCTCTCTCGCCTTCCACTCCTACACCATCGATCCCTGTGAGCTTCATGCCCTCTCTCGCTCGCTGCACACGCTCACCCACCTCGCCATCCACGAGTGTCCCTAGGTCTCCAGTTACGCTCTCGCAGCACTGGTTGCAACCAACCCGGCTCTTTCCTCCCTCTCCCTCCACTCCACCTCCTACCCTCTCTTCATCTCCCAAGGCCTCCGCAATTTGTTCCTGTCGTCCTTCTCCCGCCTCCACACCCTCACTCTCTCGGGGCTGCCCGCGTTCCGCCCGGGCATGCTTGCACGCTGCAGCGGTCTGAAGCGTCTCACGCTGAAAGGGAAGGGGGAGGCGAGGGAGAGTGTTATGCCCTCTGAGGCGCCGCAGAAGCCGTCGTTGGAGTGCCTTGTGGCCATGCTGGTGCGCGTGGAAGAGAGGGCAGGCGGCGGAGTTATGGTGGGAGGGGACAATGGAGAGGAGAGACAGGAAGGGGAGATTGCTGTGGACAATGGGGAGGTAGGAGGAGCATCAGCAGAAGATGATGAAGAAGCAATGAAAGCCCAAGACGCAGCAGCACCCCTAGCAGCTGCCACGCCGGTGGTAGCAGAAACAGGGATCACTGGCCATAGGGGCATTCGGTACCTGGACCTCCGTGCAGAAGCAGCAGCAGCACGCGCTGACATGGTGGCCGCATTCGACGACTGGACTGCCCTCATGAAGACCGCTCAGTGGAAGCTCGGGAAAATCTTGCCAGAGGTCACGCGCGCTCGCAACACGCGCGGGGAGTTCGCGCTTTTGACCATCCGGCATGTGGTGATTGAGGTGCGCGCCGCCATATCGCTGTGCCTGTGCGTGCGCCTGTCAGTAGACGAGGTGAACGCGCGGATTGCACGCGAGGAGGCAGTTCTAGACGCCTGTGCTTCTGCCGCGGCTGCAGGTCTCTTCACTGCAGCGCTGGATGAAGAATGGGAGGCAGAGCACCGGGAGAGGGACGGAGTGGGGGGAGCAGGAGGAGGGAGGGAGGTGGAGGAGCTGGTGGGGTTTGTACCTGAGAATGAGCTGTCAGCTGATATGGCGGAGGTGAGCGAGACGCTGCTGGGGGAGGAGACGGGTGGGTGGCCGGCGATTGTGGCGGTGTCGCGAAGAGAGGCGCGGGCGCTGGTACATGCGCTCACACAGCAACTGGTGGCGCGCATGCAGGCTGTCGCTGCCGGGGTTCCACCTGGCGCTCCTCCCTTATTGAATGGGGAAGCGGCAGCGCCCTTATTGAATGGGGCAGCGGCAGCGCCTGGGGCAGCAGCAGTGCCTCGAGCAGTGGCACCCGGGCTGGCCACAGCAGCAGGGGCTGGGGCAGCGGCAGAAAGGGTGGCCGAAGGAGCTGGGGCAGCAGCTGGGGTAGCTACAGCAGGAGCAGGGTCGTTGGGAGAGGACGCGAGTGTAGTAGGAAGGGCTGGGAAGGACGAGCAGCTGTGTGGCACACCCTTACAGGGGAGCACACCAGCAACGCCTGTGGAAGTGTTGTGCCCTCCACTGGAGGCCCTCACCCTCGACAGCATTCAGTTCGCCTCCACTAGCGACCCTTCCTGGTTGCCCTCTCCCCTCCCCTCTGCCTCACCCCTCATGTACCCCTCGCCCCCAGCTACACCCCCCTTCCCTTCATCGTCCTCCTCCCCCGGTCCTGTCTCAAGCCTGGGCAGCGAGCCACAGTCGTTTGAATCTCTCACACGGGCCGCTGTGTTTGGAAGGCTCAAGAGCTTGGCGATATTAAACTGTTATGGGCTGGGCGAGGGGCGGCTGGTGAAGCTGCTGCGTGCATGTGGCCTGCTGGAGAATCTGCGGGTGGAGGGCAGTGATGCGTTCTCAGACTCTGTGATAGCGGGGAGTAAACTGGAGGTGCTGACTCGGTTGACTGTGGTGGGGTGCGGTGGAGTCACTGCAGACGGCATTGGCGGGCTGCTGGGGAACGTGCCAAGGCTGCGGTATTTGAAGGTGGAGGCGGATAAGGTCTCTGACAGGGCTCGCCGGGAGTTGCTTCGTGCTGGAGTGGTTGTCAGGGGAGTGTGAACTTGGACTCTTCGGGAATGTTTGGTTTCTCCATGCTTGTTTCATTCGCTCCTTGAATGTCCGTTCGTAAGCACTTCATGATCAAGCTGGGTTCAACTACCATATTAGTGAAACATGCACATGCTAGGAACATTAATTTACAGTATTCTAATAAGAACCATACATTCATGGTAGGAAGGTCCAGATGATTTGTGGTATGGTACCGTATTTACCCGGCTAATGGACCCCCCAAATTTATAGACCCCCGGGTCGTTAAATGGGGGCGGGTCTAATGCTATCACCCAGGGCTCAGGTTTGGTTTTGGCCTACTCACGATTGGCAGTGTAGCTTTTTCAAAAACCCTTATGGGCAGTGTGTACTTTTCCATTACACTGATAGAGCAGTGTAACATCAGGTTTTGGATTTTTTACCTTGCATCATCAGTGTGGTTTGTTTCCAAGCACTGACACATCATGTGTAAATTAGGCGTGTATGACAGGTGCCGAGAAAGTTATCTGCCTCCCAGGTCCCCTCCCACCTCGACTGTTTGTTTATGAGGGGCGGGGGGGAAGGGGAGGACTTACGAAATTGGCGACAATTTCGCCTCTCCTCCCCCTCGACCGATTGTTTGTGAGGGGCGGTGGGGAAGGGGAGGACTTACAAAATTGGCGAGAATTTCGCCTCCCCTCCCCCTCGACCGATTGTTTGTGGGGAAGGGGGGGGAGGGGGGGGGTGGGGGGTGGGTGTGGGGGTCCGTGTACGCTCTTCAGTGTAATCTTCGCTAAGGGAAAATTTACCCCAAGGCATCAGTGTGGCCTACATCGATACACTTACTGATCAGTGTAACACTAACTCATAAAAAAATTACCCCAGCACATCAGTGTAGACCCAAAATTTCACCCTTGTAATCAGTGTAGAAGGGTAAATTACACTGATAACCTGAGCCCTGCTATCACCACTTTCGTAATAGACTCCCCTTTCAGTAATGCATCCCGGATTAGACCCTCTTCCACTGTAGAAAGTTCAATTTTGGAAATACTGTAGCGAAACTCATAATATCGAGGTAGCGCAAAGACCGTTCTGGCTGGTCATTTGACCACGTGCATGTCTCGCGTCAGTGCGTGGTCAAAATATTCCTGATGCGGCATCGAAATTGTGACCTCTCTGATACAGTAACACTCGCGTTTGTCATAACTTAGAAAGAAAATGCATACAGGATTAGACCCCGGGTCTATTAAAATTCCCCCCCGTTAATAGACCTCCCCCCCCATTTTTTTCCCGGTATAGGATTAGACCCCCGGGTCTATTAGCTGTCGAGAAAATTAGGCAAAAAGAGAGAGGGTTGAACTAGCAAGAATGGGGATACAAATAGCAAACCCTAGAAGGGTTGTACTCGCTACAGAGCACCCCACTGCAGGCTAGACAAATATAACATTCTGACACACCCCCATAGCCAAAGTGGGGTGTAATCAGCAGAGCAAGCAAAGCAGTACAAGCTCAGGGTGGATCACGATGTCACCACACATTCTGAGCACAAGTTCAAGAAGCAACAGTTTATAAGTTATGAGCAAAGCTAGAGGCGGTCACAGAGGACAAATGAGGAGGAGGAGGGCTGGCGAGAGGAGAAAGGAGTGGAGGCGACGACTGAAGCTGCAGACACACGGGCATCAGACGGCTCTGGCGCAACGCTAGTGGCTACCGGAAGCAGAGCCCCGGACTACAGGGGTAATAGTCGCTGCGGAGGGTGCAGCGGACCCACGGGCGACAGGTGCAGCCGGCTCTCTGAGCTACCGGAGGTCCGCGGAACCCCGGAATACAGGTGCTGCGGACGACACGACGGCAGTCTCCGCTCAACCTCCCCCAACAGTCCCACACCCCTCGACACACACCCCTTGCTTCACCCCTAGCTCCACTCCCACGGTACCCCCCCTTAAACCCCAAACCCTAGACTCCCACACACCACCCCCCTCAGCGGCAGCTGCAGTAGAGGGAGACTAGGGAGGAGGAGGAGTAGGTAGAGTAACGCACAACCGACACCCCCACAGCCGCCACCCCCACACTCCCCACCCCCAAACCCTAAAACGGGCGAAAGGGAGAAGGAGCGCGGGGGACGGCGAGGGGGAAGGCGCGCGACCCCCAGGGCGCCACCTCTGGGCAGCGGGGGCCGCGCGCGGCTCCCCAGGGCGCCTCGACGGGGCAGCGGGGGGCCGCGCGCGGCTCCCTAAGGCGTCGCGACGAGGCAGCGGGGGCCGCGCGCAGCTCCCCACGGCGTCGCGACGAGGTAGCGGGGGGCCGCGCGCGGCTCCCCAAGGTGTCGCGACGAGACGTCGGGGGCGACGCGCGGGGCTGCGGGGCGACGCGGGGGGTCGACGGCGACGGGGGGAGGGCGCTTCGACGGTGGGAAACCGCCGCGCGCCCCGAGCGCACGGCGGGATGAAAACCGCCGAAACCCTAGAAAAAATTCGCCGCGCGCTCCGCGCGCGGCAGGAAGAAGTCGTCGCGCGCCCGAGGCGCCCGGCAGGAAGTACAGCAGCGGAAGCATTAGGTGGTGGGCCCACCCACAGGATCGACCCAGGAGGGTCGACCTGCTCTGATAGCATGTCGAGAAAATTAGGCAAAAAAAGAGGGGTTGAACTAGCAAGAATGGGGATACAAATAGCAAACCCTAGAAGGGTTGTACTCGCTACAGAGCACCCCACTGCAGGCTAGACAAATATAACATTCTGACATTAGCCGGGTAAAAACGGTACCGTAAGCCCCCGGATAGAAGCGCAGGCCTCGGATAAGCGCCGGCGCTTATAAAAGGATGAGGGCGCTTATATCCGGTCCTCGATTATAAGCGCACCCCTTAAAAAATTCTGATTTATTATAAGCGCATGTCTATTTTTTAATCTGAAAATCAGTCGATTTCAGAAACGAATTTCTCTTTACCAGGGAATCGAAGTACAGGTCCACTTTCCCACTCACATCACACTTGCTGCGCGTCTAGTCAGCACTTGCTGTCGCTTAGTCAGCATGTGTTGGCAGGGAATACATCCCTGCTACCGTAAGTTGCGCGAGAATCAGATTCGCGACCCCAGATATATTCGACTCGATTACAATTGGCAGAACAAGGTGTACAGATTGGTGTAAAACAAATATAAACTTGCTTTGCCATTTTATAAGCGCCGGCTCTTATAAAATTCCTCAATTATAAGCGCACCCCCTAAAAAACAGTGTTTTTTTATACCCCCAGGGGCGCTTCTATCCGGGGGCTGACGGTATATGGTATGCTGTGCCCTGGGAAAGTCATACACCATGCATTTCCACTGCCTGTGAATACTCCCAAGGCAAGAAAGAAGTGCCTCATCTTCTACTGCCCAACCAATACACCATTCACCCCCATCCACAATCGCCTGTCCACTACTGCTCCGTTCACTACTAGAACGCCAATCTACAGCCAAGTTTGGGTGGGCGACAAACCTCATCTACGGCCATGGATGCACGTAGAACCCGCCAATCTACGGCCATGGATGCACGTAGAACCCGCCAATCTACGGCCATGGATGCACGTAGAACCCGGCTCTTCTCAAGTCCGTCAATAACTGTGTGGTGTCGTCACGCGTGTGGTTGAACCTATCCGTCCACGTGAAACCCTCCATGGAGGGGTGGTGGTAGTGCACCTCCACAAAGAGCTCGTCCACAATGGCGGGCATGCGCGGGATGGCCAGCCACTCACACAGCACCGCCCACTCCGCCCCCTCTATGTCCATCTTTATAATCACCGAGTCCTCCTCTGTCAACTGCAGCTCTTCTAGTAACCATCGGGTCACGTTCACCACGTGCTAGAGAGGAGAGAGTGGAGGGCGGATGGGGGGAAGGGGGGGGGGGGGGGTATTGAGAAGGGGCCACTCGTGCAGCACCTCCCACTCCGCCCCCTCTATGTCCGTCTTCACTACCACTGCATCCTCCTCCGTCAACTGTAGATCCTCCAGCAGTCACCGGGTCACGTTCACCATGGTCTGAGGAGGGGGTGGGGGGCAAGAGGGGGTGGGAGGAGGAGCAGGATGGGTAATGAGAAAGCAGTGGTATCTGAGGGGGTGGATGGGGAGCGGGGAGGTGGAGGAAGGTGGGAAAAGGGAAGCAGGCAGAGGAAGGGAATGAAAGAACTGGGAATGAGAGCTATGGTTGGCATGAGTGGTTCCCATCCGCTGCTCACTCTGTTTGTCCCAGTTAGTCATGCTCAGAGCGCTGTGGGATGAGGGATGGGGGGAGAGAAGGAGGAGGGAGAGTGGAAGGAGGGAGAGAAGGAGGAGGGAGAGAGGAAGGAGGGAGAGAAGGAGGAGGGAGAGAGGAAGGAGGGAGAGAAGGAGGGAGAGAGGAAGGAGGGAGAGAGGAGGGAGAGAGGAAGGAGGAGAGAAGGAGGGAGAGAAGGAGGGAGAAAGGAAGGATGGAGAGGGGGAGGAGGGAGAGTAGGAGGAGGGAGAGAGGAAGGAGGGAGAGAGGAAGGAGGGAGAGGGGGAGGAGGGAGAGAAGGAGGAGGGAGAGAGGAGGGAGGAAAGAGAGAGAGGGGAAGGAGGATGAGAGGGAGGAGGCGGAGAGGGAGGAGACAGAGAGGGAGGAGGCAGAAAGGGAGGAGGCAGAAAGGGAGGAGGCAGAAAGGGAGGACAGTAAGGCTAGCCTTAGTCACCATTACTGGAGCCCTTGTGCTCCTCCCTTGGCTGACAAAGGGCGGAAGAGGTTTAGGGTTTTGAGACACCTCACAACCCTCTTTATGTGTCCGCCTGGTCACGTTCCCTGCAGTGTGGGAGGAGACGAGAGGAGAGATGGCAAGCCAACCAGGGGCAATGGTGGAGAGGAGAGGAAAGGAAAGGAGTGTGGAAAGATAGCGAGGGTACGGGTGTAAGGAAAAGGTGAGAGGGGAAAAGGAGGGGAAAAAAAATAGAGATAGGGGGGGGGGGGAGGAAAGAAGAGGGAGGTTGGGGAAAAAAAGGGAGGGGAGATGAAGAGGAAATGGAGGGGTTTGAGGAAAAGAGGGGGGGAAGAAGAGGGAGGGGTTAGAGAGGAGGGGGGGAAGAAGAAGTTTGGAAAAAAAGGAGGGGAGGAGGGGGAGGGAGGAGGGGGAGGAGTTAGGAGGAGGGGAGGAAAAAAAGTAGTTCGGAAAGGGAAAGAAGATGAGGAGTTAGGAACAGAGGAGAAAAGGGAGGAAGGAGGAACCGGAGAGCGGGGGGGAGAAAGGGGGAGGAGGAAAGAAAGAATCGGAGGAAGGAAGAAAGGCAGGGAGGGGAGGGGCGGGAGGAATGGGGGAACGGGGAAAAAGGAAAAGGAGAGGGATAAGCAAATCAAATCCAGCTTTGAGCGTATCAAAGCCCCTTTAGGGAGGCAGGCAGGCGGACATGGAGGGGGGATATGATCAAGCTCTAACTATAGCAAGTCACACCTATGGCACCCATGGCACCCGTGGCACCCATGGCACCCATGGCACCCATGGCACCCATGGCACCCATGGCACACTTACGGCTGCGTCTATAACAAGTCACACCCATGGAACTTATCACACCTGTGGCACCTACGGCACACCAGAGAAAGGCTCTTCCAGGGCTCAACTGAGGTGCCTTCAACTGTTACACACACACAGCAAGGGTGCCGTCTACATTTACACCGCCAATACAGGTTGTCACCTTTTTCTTTCCAGGTGTAAAAATGTTGCTACCTCTTCTGGGTTGTCTAGGTTGTCCTGGGAGGAGATGAACAAGTTGTGGGGGTGGACGCGGTCCATCAGCCATGCAGGGAAACCTGCAGGGCCGCTGCGAAACGGACGCAGGCGAGATTGCGAGTTGATCTCATAGGCCGGTACCTGAAACGGTTGAGAACGGTACATAAACAGTAACGAGTGGCTGGGAAGGGTATGTGTGGCATGAACTAATGATCCCGGTATTATGGCACCACGGCTGCGAAATCCTGAGATCTTCAATTTTATTGAAATTAAAAAGAGGCATATTACGGTAGAAATCAAACAACTTACAATGTCAGGTGGGGAGAATGAGGGGAGAATCGGAAGGGGCGCAGAGACGATGGGATCAAGGCGACGTGAGTCACTCATATTTCTTTCTTCTGTAAACAGATAACGTTCTGTATTGTCTCCACAGAGCGCTTCATGAAGAAAGGTGCTTCTAATCTCCCACTGCGCAGAGCCTTACAAAGCTACGCGGAACGATAACGGCAGCCACATACTACACTGAAGAAATTCGTTCTGTACGTATGCATTCAGCTGAACAGCAAACTCCCTGCTTGTCCCCATTTCTTCTCCCCTTCACTGCCGCTCGCTCAAGGGCCTAGGTGGTAAGAAGTTCCCTCTTCCTAGCCCAACCCCTCCAATCACTCCAGAGTCCAGACCATGAAGGAGCTGCAATCTCCGTCGTCACGCTGCAGCAACTCATCCCTTTCAGAAACCCTCCACGCCCCCTCCCTCCTTTCTCTCCCCTTTTCCGTGCCAAGCGTGTATGCCCTGGCCAACCGTAAGTGCATACGCTAGAATTCGTGATGTGCGCTAGTGTCAACATGCTAGTGTGAAATGCGTTGACGGCGTAAATTCCTGCTTATTTAAACCCTCGGACTCTCTCCGCACCCTTTCCTTCGCAGCCCCCTCAGATGCTGTTCACATCTTTCTTTTCCCATATGTGTAAGAATGCAATTGTTTGCGCACCTCAAGCGGTGGTGTAGATGGCTTCTGGAACAGGCCGGTCTCCACTTCCACCGCATGAATCTCGGTGAAATCGAGGGGGTACATTCGAAGGAACCAGGCGACACTTGTCTCAAACTTATTGGCTCCCAGGTCTACCAACACCCTCCTCTTCCTGCGAAAACGCGGGATTTCGGGGAGAGAATTTGGAAAGAGAATTTTGATTCATGGCAAGGAAAAGACACCAAGCGCGTGTGTCTGCGAAAGCGACGGGTGCATTCGAAGGAACCATGTATCGCAACTGTTGGAAACCTAACTCTCTAACTCCTCCGACATCTTTTAGCACCCGCCACGTTCTGGAGACTGGGAGAGCTGAGGAGCGAGGAAAGGAAAAGGCAATGACGGTTTTATTTCGATGATCCAATACACTACGTTGCGGTTGCGAACACAAGCAGGTCCGCCGGAATTGCGACGTTCATATGCCGAGGTGGACCGATCGGAACCGCTCCGCTAAGAAAATCCTAGATTGCATCGGAATTTCGCAAAAAGACCTGCTTCCTGCGAATGCGGGGACGGGAAACTCGAGGATCAGAAGAAACACCAAAAGAAAGGAGGTCATATGGTAAGAATAAAGTGTCATTGTAGATCCCCCTCGGAATCTACCAGCTTCATCTGATTTTGGCGGTAACCAAATCTACGCCGCGTTACGCACCTGGTGTGCAAGGTGGGATCCATGTTGGCTCGTAGGAACGGCAAGATCTGCGTCTTGTCCTCCACATCGTCCACGAAGCTCCAAGTCCCGGCAGAATCAGATCAGACAGCATTCACACTCGCACTCACTCACGCACTTGCTCTGCATGGCGGGGTCCAGCACGGCTCGTAGGAACAACAAGATCTGCGTCTTGTCCTCCACGTCGTCCACGAAGCCCCAAGTCCCGTGCAACGCAATACGCACCTAGTGTGCAAGGCGGGATCCATGTTGGCTCGTAGAAACGGTAGGATCTGCGTCTTGTCCTCCACGTCGTCCACGAAGCCCAGGGTCCACCCGCGGCGGAAGTTCAGGTGCGCGTCTAGCTCCTCTATAGGCAGCCCCGCTACAAGACACGGGGAAACGTGCGGTGTCCACTGTAGTGTGGGTGTCAGCATGGCGCAAGGGAAGGGACGAGGACGAAGAATCTCATTCCGAAAATGCTCAGTTTAAGCAGCATTGTGTGCAGATGAGTGCATGTACGCTCGAATCGCATAGTACCTTGTGTGTCCTTAAGGACTATGTTTGTGCCATCAACATAACCCTACTATAATAACATCTGATAGGCTGATATAGAGTCCATCTGATAGGTACTATTTGGAAAAGATCAGGTGTGGACTCGAAGGCGTGCGTCGAGAGGGAGTGGGAAACGCGGGGAGGAACGTCGCGGGAAAGCGTTTTAAGTAGTAGGGGTATGGCGTTCGATAGTATCAAGCATATCATCTGCCAGGATCATTGCCAGACTTCGGGCTCACTTAGTACCTTCGTAAACGCCCACACATCCTCGGGACTGTCTTGAGGCGACGAGGTGCTATCTCCGTCATCCGGAGTAGCTCTGCTGGTTGATGTCCAGTCAGAGCACGACTGAGCTGCGATGCGGCCTCCACTTCTGCTTCCGTCTGCGGTTCTTAGCGCTAAGTCGCAGTCGCACGGCGCGCATCGTTGGGGAAGCTGAACTGCTATGATTGAGACCGAGCAGAGGAGGAGGAGCGTCGAGACTACTGCCCAAAGGAGTGCCACTGGATACGGTATTAGCGACTCGGCGCTCTTGAATGACGATTTCGTTGACAAGTATTGAATATGATAAGGGCTACACTTGATTCTAGGTTTATTATGGGAAGCACTAACTGGAGCAGAATGAAGAACCATGACTGCACGACAGGGACTTAGGCGATGATACGCTCGTAGTCACTTCCCTTTGGCCAGAATCAGGGCGCAATACTCGAAACAGAGGTGCGTGTCAACGGGATTGTCGTGGAATTCGAAGGCCGGACGCCGAGCGAGGAAGCCGAAGGATGTGGTTCACAGTGCGAGGGGGTGATGCCGACCTCGCGAGTGGAGAAACGTCTCCCAAGCGTTGGTTACACGTGATATGGCGAGCGAAACGAATAGTGCGCTGTAGTGAAATCGGGGGATTGGGGGGTGCACAACGAACCTAACAGGTTTGGCGCACCCGAGCGCCCAACAGCAAATCTGCGGTCGCCTGTAAAAAACCCAGCCCAGGTGACACGTCTGGGAATTTAGGGTGTGTAAGATCCCCGTGCACACGTTTTGGCTGAATTTTGTCGACCATTTTGGTCGACAAAGCTTTCGCGAAGGTCGACAGATTAGTCGTCACCAGGTCGACAAATTTTCGGCCAACTCAGTGTGGCCTCCAAATCTGACACGGTTTTGCTGGCCGCTGTAACAGAGGTGGAAGATTTTGGTTTGTCCTTTTTTACGACTTGGTGCGACGATGTCGCACACATGAATACGATGTCGCAATTTCACTGTAGCAGCGTATGCGACTTCGTTTCTCACTGTAGACAGCTGCTGTCGACAGCATGGCCGATTTGAAGTCGACCACGCGTCGGAAAAGAGTCGACTAGTTTTCCGGCCATCAAATCACAAATTTGATGGTTGAAATTGACGAGATTCGCAAACCGATCACGAAATGGTTACTTTCGCTACGGCCACCTAATTTTGATGGCCGATTCTGTGTGCACGGGGATCTTACACGCCCTTATGGGGCGAAACTGCACGATCGCGACAGTTTCACGATCAATCTGTTGCAAAAGACCATCGATCGCGCGAGCCAGGGGTAACACAATATTGATGACCAGTTTACTGTGCATTGCCGAATACTGGCGAAAAACAGGATACCAAGCTTTTGGCGACGTTTCTGAATCACATATTTTCGGCACATCGATCGATCAGCTAGAAGTTCCAAAAGGTTACGCGTCCTCGGGCATATTTGTTTGCCCTACTTTCCCTTCAGGTTACAGCAGGCACTAGAGACAACTCCCGCGAAGTATAACTTACCTCAGGCGTAACGACTGGGCACCAGAGACAACTCCCCACGAAATAAATCGGACCTTAGAGCAGACTCGCCAACATGACAGCGCAACAGCAGCCACCGTCGCAGCCTCCCCCAGTAGTCCACGTGGCATTCGCCCGGGCCGCCTATCGCCCGGGCGAAACCGTCATCGCGACGATCGACATCGACAATTTCGCTCCCTCGCCAAAAGCGCTGCTCTCCGCCGCCGCCGCCTCCGCCGGCATCGCATTGCCGTCCTGGGCGATCCCGCAGCGCGCGCCGAGGCGCGACGGCATCAGCAGCAGCAGCAGCGCGATGGGCGGCAGAGTGGGATCCGCGCCGTCTCTGACGAAAAACGCGTCGTTTAGCGGCGCGAGTGCGGGGCGGGCGAGCGAGGGCGAGTTCGGCACTGTAGGGGGTGTGCTTATAGAGAACCTGGTGGTGGATCTTAAAGGCGTGGAGCGGCTCGACCCGTCGTGGATCGTGCTGCCGAAATCCAGCAGCGGCGCGCAGAGCAAAGGTGGGTGGGGAAGAGGAGGGGTGGGTGGGGGAGAGGAGAGGACCAGTGGGGACAGGTGGGTGTGAGAGCAAGGGTGGGGTGCGGGAGAGGAATGGTGTTTGGGGGAGAGGAATGGTGGGTGGGAGGAGAAAAGTGCAAGGTGGGGGTGAGCAAAAAGCGGGGAGGGGAAGCGCGTGGTATCCAGAGAAGAGCGAGAGCAGCGGTGGGATGTATGTGAGGGAGTGAGGATGGGCTAGGCACACAAGGAGGAACTTGAGGTGGCGAGGAGGATGTTAGCTGCAGTGCTGATTGCAAGCTACCACAATTAGGGTTACTATCAATTCTGGGTTATCCCTCCCATTACCCCCATCGCTCCCATCACTACATCATTCCCATCAGGGGGAGTGATAGCGTAGGGGCAGGGGGAGTGCCAGAGGGCCGCTCCACCATCGCCATCATTCTCTATTTCATTCCAGCCGAACCATTCTCTCATTGCCCCGTGCATCCCGTGCCCCATGCATCCCGTGCCCCATTCATCCCGTGCCCCATGTCTTGGCCAATGTGTCCCACGCCCTGCTTGCTCCGCACTGAATCACGCCATGCCATCCATGCTTGCCCTGCCCGGCAGGCGAGAGGGTGATACTGGAGTCGCAGCTCACATCGCCACCAGTGTTCTCCACCACGCCATCTCCCTCCCCTCCTCCTCCGTTTCCCATGCCTTGCCCCATGCCCTGCTTGCCCCACACCGGAACTTGGCAGGCGAGAGGGTGATTCTGGAGTCGCAGCTCACATCGCTCGTCACCAACGTCGCCATCCAGCCCGGTGCCAGCAAGACCTGTACGCGCCCCCTTTTCCTTCCCTAAACCTTGCCTTTGCCCTACCAAGTCGTTCTGTTCCCTTGTGTATGCCCCTTCTCTCCACCTTGCAACTCACCTCCCTTGCGGCATGCACCTTCCATTCACTGAATTACATGCTGCACGTGAGGCATTCGCACGGCCAGGCTGCACACGGGGCACTCACACTGTCATCATGACAGTGTCACGCACTCGCCTCGCATGCCTCACTCCCCCGTTCTTTCCCGACCTCTCCCTACCCCAGACGCGCACAACTACCGCCAGCCAGTGCTGTGCCCCCCTGCTACCACGGAACAGCCGTGCGCTTTCACTACCAGCTCACTGTTATTGTCAAGTGTGGCGTTCCCTCCGTTCCCCTTCCCCCTCCCTTTGTCGTCTCATCCCCCGACCCTCTCCCCCTCCCCACCTCTCCCCCCCCCCCTCCCTCCCTCCCACCTCTCCTTCAGACGCCATAAGAGCGCAGCTGCCGCGAGTGCTGCCCCCATCCTACCGCGGAACAGCAGTGCGTTTCCACTACCAGCTCACAGTCATTGTCAAGTGGCGCCCCCTCCCCTCCCCCTCCCCCTCCGCCTCCCCCTCCCCCTCACCCCTCGCCTCCGGCCACTCCTCGTCCTCCTCTGCCCTCCTCTCCTCCCACTCCGCCTCCCCCTCCCCCTCCCCTGGTGTTCCGCGGAGGTCCCACTCTGGTGGGCAGCTAGGGGGGGAAGGGGGAGGGGGAGGGGGAGGGGCGGGGAAGGGCGAGGGGAACAGGGGGCAAGGGGGGAGCGCGAATACCACTCCGCTGAAGGGGAGAGGGGGAGGGGAGGAGGGAAGAGGGGGAGCAGCGGGTGGGCAGGGGAAGGGGAAAGGGGGGAAGGGCGGACAGGGTGGCGCCACGTCTGTTGTGGTGAGTGCTGCTGCGCCGCGCATCTGAATGCTGCCTGGCCTGAAAACCCCGTCCCCTTTCTCCCCCCTTTCCTGTCACATGTTGCTGCGCATCTGCCTCGCACCGCACCTCTCATCCGGGCATTGAACGCACATCATTCAGTGGTGATAGATCTCCTCCTATGTAAACTTCTGAGTTGACTCAAAAGTGAGCTCCCACACAGCAGGTGTGTGCGTGCGAGTAGTGCCATTGCTCATCTAGACTCTTGCCACTCTGAATGACCTCACCCGTGGTCCTTTGTCCGTCATCAAACACCGTTTCATGCTCCCCTTCCCCCTCCCTTCCCTTCTCCCTCTCTCAAGAGAGAGTGCCGTTGCGCATATGGAATGGACGCTGCCTAACCTTAGTGGGCATATGCCCTTGAGTCGGCTCAAAAGTGGGCATATGCCCACTCAGGTTGTACATTCCCTGCGTGGGCTCACAGTGGGCTCACAGTGGTCTTCAGTACTTCGTCCCTTCACCAGATTCTCTTCATACTTTCATTCTTTCAACCCCTTCGTCCATTCCCTTCCCCCTTTCCAACACCCCCATCCCAGGAGGTGCGAGTGCCCTTGCGCATCTGGACGCTGCCCTACTGAGTGGGCTCACAGTGGTGCCTCGTCCATCCCCACTCCCTCCATCGTCCTGCCCTTTCCCCCTCTCGTCTCCCCATTCAGGAGGTGCGAGTGCCGCTGCGCATCTGGACGCTGCCCAACCTGAGTGGGCTCACAGTGGAGGAGCTGGACTCAGAGGATCACTACGGCGTGGGAGGTAAGAGGTGGGCTCAGGGCAGTGACAATTCCTAGAAAGCTTATTGACAATTCATCTGTGTCATGAGTCCATTGCAATGTTCCTGAGTGGGCTCACAGTGGAGGAGCTGGACTCAGAGGATCACTACGGCGTGGGAGGTACGACGACCCCCCGTCTGCCCAGCCCATGTGCATTTTGAGTAGTTTGCGTTGACTGTTTCCAAGTGGGGGAGTGATGTGACTGAAAATGCCCTCTCACTGATGAAAAACGAGAGTTTTTTTATCCCTCACGCCCTTACTTGCTCACTCAATTCCCCACCCGCCCACTCTCTCACAACTTCCTCCCTCCCTCCATCCCTCCCTTCCTCACGCCCTCTCATTTCCTGAAAGGCATGGTGCTTGCAGCGCCAGTTGAGCTGGCCCTCACTCGCCCAACCCCTCTTTCTCCCCCTCACTCCCTCACCCCTCGCCACTCCCTTCCTCATCCCTCTGTCACTCTCTCCCTCACACTCACAACCCTCACAGGCATAGTGCCGACAACACCAGTGGAAGTTGATATTCAGTGGAGGGAGAGGAAGTCCCGTGCAGCACTCATGGTAGGCCGGACGGCACTCATGGTAGGTTTGGTGGCACAGACGGTAGGCTGTGCTGGTAGGTCAGGGAATCATTCAAGGTAAGCTGAGCGACTGTTTCAATAGGGTGGACGCATTTTTATAGACTGTGCAGCAGGTATGGTGATCCGGATGGCAATAGGCTGTTCGCATGACCGGGATTGTCAGGGTGGTCAGGAGTTCGTGCTTTCGTTCGGGATGTGATGGCTGAGGGTCGAGGGCTGAGGGTTGAGGGCTGTGAGGGTCAAACAAACCAAGGGGGCGTAATGCATCAAGGTAGCAACGTAACAGTTCAGCTGCCTCCCCTTCTCCCCCCTAGACATGGGCATCTGGTCGGGTCGACCCAACACAACCCATCTTCCCCACCTGTTTTGTGTCCTCCTTGTGCCCGTATCTTCCCGTTTAGCCTTTTGACACGTCTCAATAGTTCCCCACACCTCTCTTGTCTCCTCTCTCCTACCCTTACTCCCCCTTATAGTTCCCCCCTCGATTCAACCTTCCGCTTTTTTTAGATGCCAGAGAGCCTCTCGACCTCGGTGACCGTATTGCTGCACAAGAAAGGGCCAACGGATCAGCTGGGGAATTACCGCCCCATCACGCTCCTGTCAGCCATGTACAAAGTGATCACGAAGGTCATGGCTACGAGACTGAAGAAGGTGCTAGGCAAGGTCCTATCAAAGGAGCAGCATGGCTTCTTACCTGGGAAAAGCCTTGCGGATGCAGTTTCGGTGGTAGCGGACGCAGTGGAGGCGGCGAACAGCGGCGGGGAGGACTGGCTACTACTGCTGGTAGATTTTCAGAAGGCGTATGACACGGTCTCAAGATCCTTCCTCTTCAGGGTCATGAAGGAGCTGGGCATGCCCGAAAACTTCATTGGTTGGACCAGAGGACTGCACGCAGACGCAGGAACAAGGATCATCATAAACGGGTGGTTAAGCGACAGGGTGGAGATGTGCAGAGGAGTCAGGCAGGGTTGCCCCCTGGCTCCATACCTTTTTCTCTGCGCACTCGAGCCGCTGTGCAGAGCCACGCAGCGTGAAGGGCTGGGTATCGGACCGGTGGGGAAAGAGCCGCTGGCGTACGTGGGGTACGCCGATGACACATCCTTCTTGTTGAGCGGGGAGGCCCAGCTGCGGAGGACGGTGGAGGTGCTGGACACCTTCGGGAAGCAGTCGGGGCTGAAGGTGAACTGCGACAAGTCGGTGGTCGTGCCGCTGGGGAGCAACAGGGGAGAGCCGGTGCCGGCGGACATCCCGTACAAGTGGTCGGTGCAGGGAGAACCGGAGAGGCTTCTGGGGGTGTGGATAACACCCAACGGAGATCCGGGTCCTTCCTGGGGGATGGCGTACGAAAGGATAAAGGAGGAACTAAGGAAGTGGGAAGCGCAATATCTCACGACAACAGCAAGAGTGGCGGTGATTAGCTGCTACGTCCTGCCAGTCTTGATGTTCCAGGCGCAAGTATATTCGCCGCCGGATGAGATTTGGGAAAAAATCAGGAAGCTCTGTCACGCGTTCGTATCGGCCGGGGAAGCGGCAGAGGAGAAAATCTTCATTATATGGAGTGCCTACCTGGCATGTCTGCCGCGGAAAGACGGGGGGCTGGGCCAGCTGGACCCAAAACTATGCCTGGACGGGTTGGCGATTCGCAGGATCGGGAAGTTTCTGAAAGAGCCGGATGGCACACGCCGCTGGCTGGCGGAAAAGGCGGCGGCTCTCCCGCAAGGGTTGGCCACGCTGTACGCGCACCCGTCGGCGATGAAACACTGGCCACGTGGCAGCGAACGCTGGAAGGCGGCCGTGAAGGTGTTCTGGTCGTCACCGTTGGCGACGCTGCCGGCGCCAAAGAATAGATGGGAAGTGGAGGAGGAATTCATATGTTTTAACAGGAACATCATGCACCGGGGGGAAAGTCCTTTCGGTCACCAGATAGGCACGGCGGCCCTCATCACCACGCGGGTACGGGACCTGCTCACAGACGGCCCGGGGGGACGAAGAGGGGTGAAGGAGGAAGATGAGCTTGTGATAGAGCTTGGGAGCAAGGAAGCGGCGGTCATGGCAAGGAAAGCATACGGAGCTATGCCGCCTGAGTGGAGGAAATTGATTGAAGAGCCGGCGACAGCGGAAGCTGTGGCGAAGGCGTCTGGAGTGGTGAGGTATGTCCTCCGAGGCCAACTGACCAGGCCCTTATGGGCAGTGGAAGGGGGGGAAGGCACGGAGGTCTGCACGTCCAATATGTCCCTCGGCGAAGACGGGAAGGTAGAAGCTCATGCGCGGGCAAGGAGAACGTGTTTCGAAGCGTGCAGGCTCCAGCCGATGGCGGTTCAGAAGGGCTATCTGGTAGGGCCAGTGGGCGACCCGAAGGTACGGCTGTTGTCCCAGACGGGACTCTTCGCTGAAGGGGAGCTGGTGCCGCTACGGAGCGTAAGAGCAGTGCTAACCAAATCGAAAGGGCGATCTTGGAGACAGGCGGAGTGGGAAGATGCGTGGGGCAAAAAGATTGACTGGCGGAGGGTTATTGAGACTCGGGACTCGATTTGTGTGCCGAACAAGGCTTTTGACGTCCTGCTCAGGATCCACAGTATGAACCTCCAGGTGGGGGAAAGGCTGGATTTCTTCAGGAACAGGATCGCTTGCGCGCACTGTGGTGAGGAAGAAACCCTAACACACTGCCTCTACAGTTGCCCGATCATACAGCCGGTCATCGGTGCGCTAAAGAGGACGCTGCACATGCTGAATCCGGACAGGTCGGTGAGCTGCCTAGGGGACCTACTGTTCGGAGAAGGGGGCACGGCGTCAGACTTTCCGGAAATGACGTTGACATCGGTGGTGATTAGGCAGATATGGCTGGCACGATGTGATGCGGTTTGGCGCGCAGCTCCTTTCGAAAGGAAAAAGGTGGGGAGACGTGCTGTGCTGGACTTCATGACGCATGCGAGGGTAGTGCTGGCGTCAAGGGGAAGGGTGGCGACAGCAGGCGAAAGGGGAAGCTTCTGGAAGACGGACAACTGGAGCCAGGTGACGACGGATGAGAGGAAGCAGTTTCAGAGGATATGCGGGACAGATGGGCCAACAAGCTGGGCGGCCCCTTTTCTCTCTATCTGGCGCAACCCGCGCACGTTCCATCAGCCTCCGTAGCTTGCCGCAGGGGGGTAATACTGCACCCACGTGGTGTGGTTTAGACCCTCCAAGACATACAGTTACGACTGCGGATGTATCTATATTTGATAATATATTTACACCAAAAAAAAAAAAAAAACCTTCCGCTTTTTCTGCTCCCCCTCGCATCCCCATAGTCGCCTCTTTGCATGCGCATCATTCATGCCTGCCATGCGAACCCCTTGTAGCTTTTTACTATTTGTTTAAATTTCTAAAAAGTCGCCTGCCTCTTCACATGCGCAGAACTGCCATGCGAACTCTCATATAGCCGTTCCAGCAGGGGTGACATGACAGCCAAGCAGCTGCTGCCCGCTGCTGCTGCTGACCTTCGCTTCAGCTGGCAGTGCTGAGAGCACCGGGGCAGTGGCAGGGGCGGCAGGGTGGCGCACAGGCAGCCCTGTGGTGACCTCCTTTCCTTTCCCCTCCACTACCCTCCTACTTCACTTCACCCCCCCTTCAGGCACCCCCACCACCGCCAGAACCACCAGCAGCAGAGGAAGATGAGGAGGAGGTCTCTGCCTCTGCTGCTGCAGCTGCTGCTGAGAGCACCGGGGCAGTGGGAGGGGCGGCAGGGCGCCGCACAGGCAGCCCTGTGGCAGCCACGGCCACCGTCACAGAAGTCGGCGGAGAAGGGGAGGTGGTATCTGGGGCAGGCGCACCTGGCCTGGGGGAGGGCGCACTCACAGCAGGAACCACCTCCGACACTGCTGCTGCTGCTGGTGCTGGTGCAGTGGGTTCCGACAGCATGCAGAGCCCGCACCTGACCCGCCTGTGGTCCGCGCCCCTGCCCACAGAGGAAGGGGGCAGTGCTGCTACTGGGCTGGGGGGGCACTCGGCGGGGACCAACGAGCCGCTTGGCCGGTCCAAGTCCATGACTGCTGGCAAACAGTTCTCTGAGAACGGCGCAGGGGCAGGCAGCTCCGACTCCCTTTCTTCCTCTACTCTGGACGCAAGGGGGGGAGCGGGAGGGGTGGGGGGAGGGGCGTGGGCGCGGTCGTCGTCGCTGCTAGACTTGGAGCCGGACAGTCCCACGCTGTCTGAGCTGGGGGGGCAGGCGGGGGGAGGGTTGCTGTTTGGCGCGTATGGGGGAGGGAATGGGTATGAGGGGGAGAGAGGGGGCGATGGGGGCAGGGGAGGGGCGCTGTCGCTGCTCAACCGGCAGGAGGAGGACGAGGGGCCGTTCATCCCGCGCTCGCCAGGTGTGCCTCCCCTTCCTACTGTCCAACACCTCTCTTGTAAAAACTCCCCCTACCTACCAATCTCTCTCTCTCTTTCATGCTAAGAGATTGCCCAAGAATTCGATATTGAAAAAACTCCCCCTACCTACCAATCTCTTACAAGTTTGTTATTTCACTCAAGATTCGCCTCTGAGGAATCTCAAGGATACGGAGCAAGACGAGGGCAAGGAGTTGTAGGTCAGCTATATTGGAATCACTTTTGAGAATTCTCAAAAGTGATTCCAATACAGTGCACGAGGGCAAGGATGAAGCCGCACGACAATGGGTCGTTTCGTCGTGAGCTTGCACTTGCCTCTTCCCTCTTCCGAGTTTCTTCTTTCTGCTTGTCACCCGGAGCTTCCCTCCTTTCGTCTCCCACATTTTATTGCTGCCCTTGGATCCACAAGAGCATGGTGCAGGGCTAAGCAGCAAACTTCACTGAACCTTTCTTGTTCGCTCGTCCCTTCCTCGCCATGGGCGTTGCGTTCATCCCAGTTGCCCTGCCCTTACTGCCCAGCCCTTCTTGGATGAGAATTTCGCCTCGTCCTTAGAACTCCCTTGCTGGACTGCCATGCCTTACGAGTCAACTTACAAAATGACTCTTGAGTTGACTTCGAAAGGGTGCCAGGCGTACAGCATCCTATCCGCATTGGCCATCTCGTCTCTCGTGCTGGCTGTGCCCCCACTGCAATCCGCACTCCTCCCCTCACCCGTGATCCACTGACCATCACGTGTTCGTTCCAACCCTCATGGCAGAGCCAGGGGTGCGAGGGCGCACATACAACATCCGCATAGACGACCATGTGCCCATTGAATTGACTCTCTTGTCTCTCATGTTGGCTGTTCCCTCTCTCCCACCCCTCTCCTCCCCACACTGTTGTGGCAGGGCCAGGGGTGAGAGGGCGGACATACAACATCCGCATTGACGACCATGTGCTCGTGCGCTTCACTCCCATCCATCCACACCCCTCCCGTCCCTCCGCTCCACTGCCATTGGGACCCATGTGCCAGGGCCAGGGGTGCGAGGGCGAACATACAACATACGTATAGACGACCATGTACTCGTGCGCTTCACTCCCAGGAACCCGCAGCCCGTCTACTACCTGGGAGACGTGGTGAGTGCTAATACCTGGGGGGCTGTGTGCGTGGCATGTCATGTAGTGTGCATGGTACAGGCACATTTGGCACATACATGGGGGCATTGACGACCATGTGCTCGTGCGCTTCACTCCCAGGAACCCGCAGCCCGTCTACTACCTGGGGGATGTGTGAGAAAACGTGAGGAAGAACCATTGATGATATTAGGAATAGAAGAGGTATACATAGTTGTGCTAGGAGGGATGGTTTGGTTGGGAGCCTAGCCAACATTATTGGCCCCCACCAATAAGTTGGGTTGAGGAATTATTGGGGGGACCAATAATGTTGACCAAAAGTGGGTCAACATTATTGGGGGGGCCAATAATTCCCAACCCAACCTTGGGGGCCAAGTGTTGAGTTCCAACCCCCAATTAGGGTTAGCCCTAGCTCTACACCCAAACTACATTTGGGTGTCTACCTCTAGCCGTAGCTTATAGGATAGATGCAGGTTACAAGTGAGGATGGTATTCTAACAGGATGTGGTGAGTGGACTGAATGGCTGTGCGGGGGGCCGTGGTGTGTGTGGGTGTGGGGAGCATAGTGCATGGATGTGTGATGAATGCAGACTGATGCATCCCATACACCGCACGGGCGCATTCCATAGGTGACCATACCATGTGCTCGTGCGCTTCCCAGGAACCTGCAGCCCGTGTACTACCTGGGGGATGTGGTGAGTGCTACCTGGGGGGCTGTGTGTGTGTGTGGCATGTGGTGCGCATGGTACAGGCACATTGGGCACATGCGTAACTCATGCAGCCAATGCTCGGGGGCATTGACGACCATGTGCTCGTGCGCTTCAGTCCCAGCCCCCAGCCTGTCTACTATCTGGGCGACGTGGTGAGTGCGGGTGTGAGGGTTTCTGTGTGTGGTGTGTGGTGAGTGCGGGTGTGTGGGGGAAGTGGTGAGTGCATGAGTGTCTGGCGAACGTGGCGATTGTGAGGGTGTGTGGGGGACGTGGCGATTGTGAGGGTGTGTGGGGGACGTGGCGATTGTGAGGGTGTGTGGGGGACGTGGCGATTGTGAGGGTGTGTGTGTGGGGCTGTATGTGGCATGCATGGGTGTGGTGTGTGGTTTATATGATCTGCTTATGCCCTCTTGAGTTACTATCCATCCTTCCTTGCATCGTATGCCATCTCACGCAATCATCCATCTGCCATCTTGTGTCATGGTGTGCAATATTGGCCGTTTTACATAACTGCCATACCACAAATATTTCTTCCTTTGTGTTCATTCCCCGCTTCCCTTACCCCATTCTTCCTCACACTCCCACTCCTTCTCCCCACCCCCTAACCCTCTCTCCCACCAGGTGTCTGGCACTCTCTCCTTCCCCATAGAGGATGGCCCACGCAGATGTCTCGAGGTGTGTCACACTCGTTTCTGTGTGTTTGTCCTTGTCTGCATGTGAGTGTATGGGCGTGCGTTCGTGTGGGCATGTATGTGCGTAACCCAAAAAATACCACCTCTGTGTGTTGTGTGCGCATGCCTTTTATCTATCCGGCCACACATGTGCACGGGACCAATGGCAGGTGCTTTGTTGCTCTGCCGCTCCCATGTTTCCCTCCAATCCCACCATGCACATCTCACGCTTCGATGAGTAGGGCATTCATCTCCGGGCACATCTCACACTCCTCTTCGATTCCGCCCTCCATTCGTCCGGAAAAAGAATGGCCCTACTCATCATCCTCCCTTTCGCACTACGTCAACCCCCAATCCCTCGGCACGGTGTTGCCACGTCTCCTCCACGGCATTTTCCCCACCTCTCTCTCCTGCCTTCTCTCCCTCGCCAGGTGTCAGTGCTGCTGGAGATGCATGAGGTGATCAACTCCCACAGGAGGCAGGTCATGCCTTTTTTTCATTGTGTTGGGTTTGTTTCTTCCATCTCTCCCTCTCGCCTCCTCTCTCCCCTGCCTCCCTGCCCCGCAAGGTGCAAGCGCTGCTGGAGGCACGCAAGGCCGTGAACCCCTGCCTGCCACTGTGTTGGGCTTGTTTCCTCTGTGTCCGTGCTGCTGGGGATGCATGACGTCTCTCCCCTGCCTTCTCGTCCCCACGCTCACCACACCAGGTGCCAGTGCTACCGCCATTCTTCTCTCTCACGTCTCCGTTTCGCCTTCTCCCCACCCCTCCACCAGGTGTCAGTGCTACTGGAGATGCACGAGGTGATCAACCCGCGTGCCCTCCACACGTCCAGGAGAGTGGCTGCCGCTGCCTCCGCTGCTAAGGTGACCCTCGCTTTGCTGTGCGTGCATGCATGCTTCACACGTGTATGCACCCATGTGTACATGCACACATGTACACCCACACATGTACACCCACGCATGTATGCACACATGCATGTCGACACTCAACTCATGTATGCATGCAAGCCCTCAGCACTTCCCTCGTTCAAGCATACTCTTTTCATCTTTGCGGTTGCACTCCCCTCTTCTCACTTCCACCACACAGATCTTCTCATCCCCTCTCCCCAATACCTCCATTCCCCCACAATCTCCCCCTGGCCTCTTCTCCTCTGCCACAACCCCTCCCTCCGCCACATACTCTCTTTCTGCCCTTCCTTCCGTTCCGCCCTCTCCCCACTCCTCGCCCCCAGACCCCCCTGCACCTGCCAGTGTTGCAGATGGAGCATCACGAGGTGACAGTCGATCTGCTCCACACGCACTTCATCTTCACCATCCCCTTCTGTACGGATGGCTTTGTTTGAGACGCCTTAGAAACCCTTTCCTGCCCCAACCCCTCTTCCCCCCCACCCAGACCCCTCTACACCTGCCAGTGTTGCAGATGGAGCATCACGAGGTGACAGTCGATCTGCTCCACACGCACTTCATCTTCACCATCCCCTCCGACGCTGCGGCCTCCTTCGCCACGCCCATCATCTCCCTGCAGGTAGGTAGCCCATGGAAGCGCAGGTAGCCCATGCATGCCCAGGTAGCCCATGCATGCCCAGGTAGCCCATGCATGCCCAGGTAGCCCATGCATGCCCAGGTAGCCCGTGCATGCCCAGGTAGCCCATGCATGCCCAGGTAGCCCGTGCATGCCCATCATCTCACGGCAGGTATGCCTAGAGTGCCCATGCGCAGCAATGCTCTCCGTTTCCATTGGGTGCCCTCCGTTCCCTGCTTCCATGCTCCCCTGCTCCCCCCTTCCTCCCCTCCCCTCTTCCCCACCTCCCCTCCTCCCCTGCGCTCCTCCTCCTACCCTCACCCCGGCCTCCCCTCCTCCCTCCTCCCTACCTCTCCTCCCCTCGTTCCCCCATGAATCGCCAGTGGGGTTCGAGGTTTGATCTCTGTGCGTCCACCAGGCAGCCAGCACACCTGCCAGTGCTCCATTCTCCGGAGTCATTGCTCCTCGCTCCTCTCCTTCTTTGCTCCTTCCCTCCCCCCCTCCCCCTCCCGCCTTCCTTCCCCCTCATCAGTGGATCCTACGGTTTGAGTTCTGTGCCTCCACCAGGCGCCCAGCACCACCCGGCAGCAGCATCGTTGCCTCTCACTCCCTACTTTCTTCGCTGCTCCCTGCTCTTCCCCTCCCCCCCTTCCTCACCAGTGGATCCTGCACTTTGAGTTCTGTGCCTCCCCACCAAGCGCCCAGCACCACCCGCCAGCACCCCTGGCAGCGCGGGCAAGGGCAGGCGAGGGTGATCCATATCACTCCTTTCTATCTTCCATCCGCCCCCCCTTTCCCCTCCCCAGTGGATCCTGCGGTTTGAGTTCTGTGCGTCTACCAAGCGATCAGCACCACCTAGCAGCACCCCTGGCAGCGCGAGCAAGGGCAGGCAGCAGCAAGCACAGCAGCAGCAGATGCACGAGAAGCCGCATGCGCTAGCCATGGGTGCGGAGACGGAGAGGGGCGAATGGTCCATGCCCATCACCGTGCACGCGCCACTGCCTAAAGTAACGCGTGAGTGACGTTTCCGAAACTGTTGGTATTCCCAAACTGCCTGAAGTAACCTGTGCGTAACATTTCCACGGGTGCTCCCCAGCTTCCGTGTGAGAGAGAGAGTACCCACTCATTGTGAGGCCACATGCTCTGGCCATGGGATGGGGAGCGGAGACGGAGAGGGGCGAGTGGTCCATGCCCATCACCGTGCACGCCCCGCTGCCTAAAGTAACGCGTAAGTGACAGTGTTGCTGGCTGGTAGTCTCCTGCTTGCTTGTGCGAGAACCAGGCCCCTTGGTGTGAAACCACATGCGCTGGCCATGGGGGCGGACACAGAGAGGGGAGAGTGGTCTATGCCCATCACCGTGCACGCGTCGCTGCCCAAAGTAATGCGTGAGTGACAGCTCTGCTGCCGCTTGTTGGTATTCTCCAGCTTGCTTGTGAGGGAGATAGCCATTCATAGAGGGGCTTTATGCGCTGACCGGCCATGGGGGGGCGAGGTAGAGAGGGGAGTGGTCTATGCACATCACCGTGCACGCCCTGCTGCCTCGAGTAACACGTGAGTGCCAGTGCTCTTGGTATCCCCCCCGTCTTCCGTTTGCATTTCATTCTGGGTAACTCTCCTTCTCCCACTTGCCTGTAAGAGTACCCCCATTGTGAAACCACGTGCGTTGGCCATGGGGGCGAGGGTGGAGAGGGGCGATTACAGTCTATGCCGTTTACCATGCATGCCCCCATTGCCGCCCATATTTGAGCCCCAAACCCCTTCCTCTCCTGTCTCTCTCCTTTTTCTGCCCTTGCTTCACTACTGCCGTTCTCCCGTCTACCGAGTTCTCTCCTCCACCCGTCCATGGTGACAGTACCTCAAAATGAGATCAATTCTTCACGTCACTTCATCCCCGTCCGTGTATTTCTACCTTCCATATCTTTCGGTGTTCCAATTACTATTCGATGAATTCTGACCTGAGGTCCTTATCATACCCCCACCCTTTGCCCGGCATGTCTCCGCCAGCCATCAGCAATCGGGACAAGGCGGTCAGGCCGCCCGTGCTGCAACAACAGTCTGCCATGCTGAACGCTGCTGCTGCTGTTACTGCTGGGTGTGGTGTTGCTGGTTCGCCTATCTAACGTCCTTCCTTATCTTATCCCCATCACTCTCATGCACCAGCCATCAGCAACCGGGACAAGGCAGTCATGCCGCCTGTGCTCCAACAACAATCTGCCATGCTGAGTGCTGCTGCTGTTGGTGGGCGTGGACTGGCCGGTGCAGCTGTCCCTCCTTCCGCACCTCTGCCCCCTGCGGCTGTGCCGTGACTCGACTTCTGAGGGGCCGCAAAGGCCTTCAGCACCTCGCTCTCCCTGCTGCTGCCGCTGCTGGTGCTGCTGCTGGTGCTGGTGCTGCTGGTGCACCTGCCCCTCCTTCAGCACCTCTCCCCCCTGCTTCTGTGCTGTAAAACGACTTTTGAGGTGCCGCAAAAGCCTTCAGCACCGCTACCGTTTGCTCCTGTGCTGTATCGGGACCACTTATCCGTCTTCGCGTAGCGTGAATGACGCTTGTTTGTGAAAAAGTGGCTGTCCTGATGCATGCATGGTGCTTATAAGACACCGATGTAACATCTGTCATTGAATCATACCGTATCTAGGCCCGACTCCTCTCAACCTTCCCCAGACCTACCGTATCTTCCCCAGCCCGCTTTCTTCCATCCCTGCCCTGCCCTCGGTATATCACTTCCTCATTTCATGCGTAGCTAAGGTACTTCACAAGATACATAGTTACAGTGCAAAATAGCTTCTACATCACTGGCCCATCCGTCGTCCACAAGTTCTCTCCTTTTCCCCTCAATACTGGATGTGTAAATCCTCGATAAAATCTTATTACAAGAAGCAGTGTCCGTATTGCAGACACGACGACACGCAGAACATGCAACCACGCACGTTACACAACACACGCAATCCGCTGAGGTCGGGTACCGGTAGGTAGCAAGAATTGCTTCTTGCACCCTCTCGTGTCAAATGCGCATCGTCGGCTTTGTGCAAGTACATATGGTAGGTACCGTAACTAACACCACTAGTTCATGCTCCTATGTAGTTGGTCACCTTTGTCATTCCAAAACAAGCTTCGACGTTTACGTCGAAAGGGTTGCGTAGGGTTGTATCCACTGCGTTTACTAAGTTCTTCATGATGATGTATATTAACTTAAAACATGACAAGATCGATAGTCCCTTATTACGGAGAAAATGCATTTTCTAGAAATTTCTTCCCTCAAAATTGTTTTGAGTGCTAACTAATATGGTTCAAATCTTTTGTGATCATAAAAAAGATGAATTGTTTACACCTAGTGCATATTCTATAGTTCTATCAGCGTACTATAGCGGGTTTTATGTTTGCAATTACTGTACCGTATCTGCTGTGTCAGCTAGTGGGATGGCGTGGCACGCATGTGTTTTCACGTGACATTAGCTTTCTAGTCTAGTATGAGCGATTTTTTTTTAGTATTGCCAAATGCCCAGATTTTGTTTTTTCTTGCCATTCACCCTTGTCCTCATATTACAATGTATACTGTACATTGAAAGTTTCAGTTCCTCGTTCTGCGCTGGCAAAAAATTTCTCGCCAGCTCCACGACAACCACAACCAAGGGATATCCGTCCCTTTCACAGCTGTCAAACCGAATTTGACGCGCTCTTCATTTCTTGGTTCTTGTTCTTCGTTTCTCTTGAGAAGCACCTGCTTGCTCACTCTCCCCCCCACCCCATTTTCTTCTCTAGCTTTTTCTCCTAACACCCCGCCATCGCTAGCACCTCCCACCCAGCCGTCGCTCTCCCTCCCATCCCCCGTATCCTCTTTCGCCCTCCTCGCCGTCGCCTCTCCCCCTTCCAGCCGTCGCCTCTCCTCCTCCCCGCCGTCGCCTCTCCTCCTTCCCGCCGTCGTCGCCTCCCCCTCCTCCCCGCCGTCGCCTCCCCTCCTTCCCGCCGTCGACTCTCCTCCCCCCGTCGTCGCCTCCCCCTCCTCCCCGCCGTCGCCTCCCCCTCCTCCCCGCCGTCGCCTCACCCTCCTCCCCGCCGTCGCCTCCCCCTCCTCCCCGCCGTCGCCTCCCCCTCCTCCCCGCCGTCGCCTCCCCCTCCTCCCCGCCGTCGCCTCCTCCTCCTCCCCGCCGTCGCCTCCCCCTCCTCCCCGCCGTCGCCTCACCCTCCTCCTTGCCGTCGCGTCACCCTCCTCCCCGCCGTCGCGTCACCCTCCTCCCCGCCGTCGCGTCACCCTCCTCCCCACCGTCGCCTCCTCCTCCTCCCCGCCGTCGCCTCCCCCTCCTCCCCGCCGTCGCCTCACCCTCCTCCCCGCCGTCGCGTCACCCTCCTCCCCGCCGTCGCCTCCGGCGACAGGTGCACGAGCGCCAGCGCGAGTTGGTGCGCGAGCGCATTGGTGCGCGAGCGCGTTGGTGCGCGAGCGCGGATTGTTTCATGAGTTACCGTGGTTTCCAGGTGCGTTCCCGGTCCTTTCATTCTCCCTTCCCCCTCTGAAATTTCTTCTTTTTTTGCTCTCGTCGTTTTTTTTTTCGTGTGCCGATTGGTCTCCTCTTCCGTAGCTCTCTTCGTGAAGAAAGGGAGAGACGCGGAGCGCGAGGAAGAGCGAGTGCACGGGAGCGCACGCACAGGAGAGTGCGCGTGAGAGTGAGCGTGAGAGAGCGTGTGAGAGCGCGTGAGAGAGTGCGTGAAAGAGCGTGTGAGAGCGCGTGAGAGAGCGCGTGATATGGCGCGTGGGATAGGGTGAGAGAGTGCGCGTGAGAGAGCACATGAGAGTGCGCGTGACAGAGCGCGTGAGTGTGCGTGAGAGTGCGTGTGGGAGAGCGCGCGAGAGAGCGCGCGCGAGAGTGCGTGCGAGAGTGCGCGCAAGGGAGCGCGGGAGAGAGCGCGTGAGAGCACGCGTGAGGGAGCGCGTGAGAGCGCGCGTGAGAGAGCGCGTGATGGAGCGCCGCCGGAGAGTGCGCGAGAGAGAGCGCGTGAGAGTGCGCTCGAGAGTGCGAGCGAAAGAGTGCGTGAGGGAGCGCGCGGGAGAGTGCGCGAGAGTTCGCGCAAGGGAGCGCGCGAGGGAGCGCGCGAGCGAGCGCGTGAGGGCGCGTGAGTTTGCGCATGAGGGAGCGTGCGAGAGAGGCGTGAGAGCGCGCGCAAGAGGGCGCGCGAGAGTGAGCGCGAGAGTGCTGGTGTGAGTGCGAGGGCGAATGCGAGCGTGAGTGTGGATATGAGAGTGAGGGCGAATGTGAGGGTGAGTGCGAGGGAGAATGCGTGCCTGAGTGCTGCAGGTGTGTGTGTGGGTTTAGAGGTTGAGCGCGATGGTGCGGGTGTGATTGCAATGGTGAATGCGAAGGCGAGTGCAAGTATGATTCCAAGCGTGAGTGCGCGCATGTGTGAGGATGATCGTAAGGGTGAATGTTGAGGTGAATGCAAGGGTGGCCGCAAGGTTTTGCATGCATTCTGACATAATGTTTACTATCAAGTCACATTTGTAAGATGCCAAATGTAAATGTTTCCATCACTCATCTTTCGTTTGTATATTGCATTCTTCAGCTTCAATTTCTGTTCCGCTTACGTTGTTTTTTAGTGTATCGAACCATTTGTTTCTTGTGCGTCATGGAATCTGCATTCTCTGATTTTGTTTCGTTGTGCAACTCATGCAAGTTGTATTCTTTGTTGTTTTTGTTTGTGCAGAGAGTGAGTTGCATTCGCTGTTTCTTCTTTCCTGTGCAGGGACTTCAAGCTCCAGTCTTCTTTTCTTGCGGAGAAAAGGGATGGGGAGAAGGGAGATGAGGGAAATGAGGGAGGGAGGGAGGGAGGGAGGGAGGGAGGGAGGAGGGAGGGAGGGAGGGAGGGAGGAGGGAGGGAGGGAGGGAGGGAGGGAGGGAGGGGGGAGGGAGGGAGGGAGGGAGGGAGGGAGGAGGAGGGAGGGAGGGAGGGAGGGAGGGAGGGAGGGAGGGAGGGAGGGAGGGAGGGAGGGAGGGAGGGAGGGAGGGAGGGAGGGAGGGGGAGGGAGGGAGGGAGGGGGGAGGGAGGGAGGGAGGGAGGGAGGAGGGAGGGAGGGAGGGAGGGAGGGGGAGGGGGAGGGAGGGAGGGAGGGAGGGAGGGAGGGAGGGAGGGAGGGAGGGAGGGAGGGAGGGAGGGAGGGAGGGAGGGGGGGGAGGGAGGGGGGAGGGAGGGGGGAGGGGGGGGGAGGGAGGGAGGGAGGGGAATGGGGCACAAGCTAGTGATGATTTACACAGGGCTGAACTTCATTCATTACGCTTGCATGCTTATTACCATAGCTGTATGCTTTTTGCGTTGTGTGTGTGTATGTGTGTGAGTACGTACATGTGCATATGTGTGTGGTGTTTGTTTCGAGGTGTGGTGCTAAGTGCCTCGTGAATGCAACTCGGATTGTGATCGTCGGTGGGGCAGCTTTGCTAGCCTCTTCCGTACCATATCAATCTTAGTTGCAGCATTGATGCATTTAGTATTCGCTTTGAAACATTCTCAATCGTTGTCTTTTGTTTTTGTGACGGTTTGTGTGTTATCGTCTGTGCTTGTTTCGGGGGTGTGGTACTAAGTGCCTCGTGTATGCAACTGGGATTGTGATCGTCGGTGGGGCAGCTTTGCTCGCCTCTTCCGTACCATATCAATCTCAGTTGCTGCATTGATGCATTTTGTATTCCCCTCAGAACATGTACGACGGTTCTTGTACACCATCGATTTTGTACTCATTTGTGTATGTGTGTGTCTTTAGGTGGTACCGTTGTACAGATTTTCTGTGTTGTTTTTGTGTTCGTGGGCCATTTGGTATCGTCATTAGTGCTAGAACGATTGTCCAATTGTTCCATTCGCCGTACTTATCGACGATTATGGAATGGTTGGAAACATTTGTTTTCATTTTTTCGGGGAAGTTACCGTGAATAGTGATTTCTTTCATAATTGATGGGAGAAATTCACTGTTCACGTCAGCCAACCGAAAAGTGAAAACGAATGTATAAGGTTGCTACGCAACCCAAAAATTCGGCATTAAACGAACGGAAACTACTCTTGTATTACTGTACGCAGAAACGAGGCCTGCCTTGATGGATTCCCATCATACAACATAGCATGCTGCATGGCCCATGCGTAGGTAAACGCAGAAATTCGACATTCTCGAAGGCGACGCGACGTAGCATGCTGCATGGCCCATGCATAGGTAATAAAGCGGACAGAACTTGCCTCCTTTGATGGAGAGAATTTATCAGGGCGCGTCCCCTCCCTCGATCGATCGTGCAAAATCGACAACGATCGTTCGTCCACCGCACTGAAATCCTGCATTGTTTTGTATTTAACCTTTTAAACCCTTTTCAACCGTGCTCAGGATCGATCCTTTGCACGATCGATCGAGGGAGGGACGCGCCCTCAGTTAGGACGCGTCAACTCATGCTAAAATCGGCAATCGATCGGGTATCGATCCGCCACCGCACTAAAATCCCGCAGTTTCTTCCAACATGTATTACAAACTCTTCCAACCCCGCACATATTCGATCCTGCGCATGATCGATCGCCTATATTTGCCGGAGTTGACGCGTCCTTATAGTTGCATAGAGGCCAACTGTTGCCGTGTGGATGCATCAAAGCGAGGCGCTTGCGGTCTAGCAGGACATACCACCTCTCTCTCTCTCCTGGAGTGGCTCTAGATGTGGTCTGCGTTTTATAGTCGCCGTTAATCTTCGCCAGTTTGTTAATTCCATTTTTCTTTCTACCAGGCAAGCACGCTTGGCCGCCTTCACTGTCACCGTGGTAACTCTATGCTCCTCGTGCCAATTTGCGACTATGAAAGCCTCGCGGAATATATCGTCTTCCGAGGATGATCCGCACGAATTCCGGCTGCTTTCTCTCCCCGACGAGCTCCTATCCCTAATTCTCACCCGTCTGGATCGCACGCACGATCGCTGCAGCGTCGCTCTCTCCTGCTCCCGCCTCCGCCGCCTCTCCCGCCGCACGCCCCACTCGCTCCACCTTAAGTTTGTCTCACCCTCTCAGAATCCCAACAGAAACGGGTGGTCCAATAATCTGGATAGTTTCTCGAGGGTATTTACCCATATTCGTGAGCTGACCGTGGAGGTTCGTTCGAATCCGGCGGGAACGGAGCTGCTGGCAGGAGTTGGCGCGGCGTGCCCGAAACTGGAGCGGTTGAGTGTGGTGGGGATATGCACGAGTTTTTTCCTGAACGATGCTGCTGCTTTGGCGAAGCTCGCGAAGCAATGCCCGTGAGTTGTACTATTGGTCCCAACTCGCTATTGGCCCCCAACCTCTGCCTTCCTCTTCCCACTTCCACCCTCAACGCCCCCATTCCCCCTTGTGAGTCACACCAGAAGTAATTTTTTGCAGTGTATAAGCTTGCTAAGCGATGGCTTTAGACCCATATTAGGACCCATTTTCAAAATGGGTCCTTCTGTCCAGACTTTTCTGTCGCGCAAATAAGTCACAGAAAAGTCTCGGAAAAGTTACTTTTATGTGACTTTCCGCCCTTGTCAAAACCGCGATGTTCTTAACACCTGGCCGTTATGCAATCCCTGCCTTCGCTTCATCTTGCCCACTCTTCCACTTCCCTCCTCGCTCTTTCCCCTTCCTCTCGCTGGCTTCTCTCTATTTCCGCCTCCCCCTCACCTCCCCCTCTCGCTCCCCCTCGTCCCTGTGTTTTCTCATTCTCCCCCTTGCCCCATCCCTCTCTTCCCACTTCTCTTCCCCCATCTTTCCTCATGCACCCCCCCCCCTTCTCATTTTCCATCGTTCCCCCTTCCTCTCCCTTATTCCCCATGCACTCTTCCCTACCCTCTCCCTTTCCACCTACGCCCTCGCCGCTCCCCGCTTACGCTCTCCCCTCTTCCCACTACGCTCTCTCTTGTTCTCTCCTCTTCCCCCTACGCTCTGCCCTCTTCCCTGCGCTCTCCCCTCTCCCCCCTTCACTCTCCCCTCTCCTCCCTACGCTCTCCCCTTTCCCCTACACTCTCGCCTCATTCCCCTACGCTCTCCCCTCTCTCCCTATGCTTCCCCCCTACGCTACCGCCCTTTTTCCCCTACGCTCTCCCTTCTCTCCCTATGCTTCTCCCCTACGCTTCCCCCTTTTTCCTCTACGCTCTCCCCTCTTTCCCGTACGCTCTTTCCTCTTTCTCCTATGCTCTCGCCCCGTTCCCCTGTGATTCCCCTATCTTCCCCCAGCGCTCTCCGCTTCTTCCTCCTGTCCTCTCCCGCCCTTCCTCTTGTTCGTCCCCCCGCTTGCCCTGTTCTCTCCGCCTCACCATCTGCTCTTCCCTCTCTTTCCCTCCTCCTCCTTCCCCCGAGCTCTCTCGCCTCTCCCCCCCGTCTCTCTCTCCCATTCCCGCCTGATCTTTTCCCCTCTCCCGTCCCCCCTCTGGAGCAGCGCAATCCCTCTCACTCCAACCCCGATTAACCCAAGGTTTTATTGCACCCTTTCTGGTCCGTCTGGTTTTGAGGTGCCTCAATAAAAGACTTTCTCACCCCGAACCCGGTTGACCCAGGCGCTTATTTTCGCCTTTCCGGTTCGTCTCCCTTTCCCCTGTTCCGCATCCCCCACTCCCATCCCCCCCCGTCTTTTCCTCCCTTTCCCCCCATCAGCCTTTTGACGTCTCTCACTTTCGACTCCCCATGGGATCTTTGCATGGTCGACAGGGATAACAACAACCACACCTCCGTCCCTCCGTTCGATGCCTTCCCCGCTCTCCACTCCCTCTCCCTCCGCCTCCCTGTCCCTCCTCTCGACGCCCTTCCCCGCTGCTCCTCCCTCACCTCCCTCACTCTCTGGAAACCCCACCCCTCCACCCTCTCCTTCCTCGCCTCCTCCTCCTCTGCCGTCCGCCCCACCCTCAACACCCTCAATCTCGAATTAGCCCAATTAGTTTCCTGCCTCGCTCCCTCCGCCTCCTTCCCCTCCCTCTCCTCCCTCGGTTTCCGCTCCTGCACCATCGATCCCTGTGAGCTGCACGCGCTCTCTCGCTCCCTCCACACGCTCACCCACCTCGCCATCCTCAACTGCCCCTTGCTCTCCAGCCACTCCCTCGCCACCCTTGCTCAAACCAACCCAGCTCTCTCCTCCCTCGCCCTTGCTCCACCACATATCACCTCTTCAGCGCACAAGGCCTCTGGTCTCTGCTGCACGCCCCTCTCCCGCACCTGCACACTCTCTCATTCTCTGGGCTGCCCTCCTTCCGCCCTGGCATGCTTGCTCGCTGCAGTGGGTTGCAGTCTCTGATGCTCACAGGTAGGGGGGATGCGGAGGCGCCGGCTGTGATTCAGCAGGTGTCTCTTGAGAGCCTTGTGAGTATGCTGGTGGTGGTGGTGCGGAGGGGAGGAGGAGAGGGGGGAGTGGGAGTGGAACGTAAAGAGGAGGGTGGAGATGGTGGGGAGGAGGGTGAGGTGGAGGAAAGGGAAGCAGTGGAGGAAGGCAAGAGAGAGAGGGATGTAGAAGCCATGAATCTAACTGCTGCAGGCGCGTCAGCAGGAGAGGGAACAGAGAGAGGAGCAGCTACAGCAGCAGCAGTAGCACTAACAATTGTCGACCCAAGGAACGAAGGATGGAGGGAGTATGAGTATGTGTATGTGGACTTTCGAACAGCAGCAGCAGCAGCGCATGCAAACCTGACAGCGGCACACGATTGCGTGTTAAAGCTGATGAGAGAGGCCAACGAGGTGATAAGAAGCGCGCTCATCAGCGCCAGTACAGCCCAGGATCCACGGGGCGAGAACTCTCTGAGCGAGATAGAATTAACAACCACCACCATTAGGTCAGCTATCGCCTTGTGTCGGTCGCTGCGTGTGGTGGATTCGGAACAAGCTGCAGCGGCAGCGAGGGAGAAGGCGATGATTGAGGCGCTTTCCGCTGCCAACGCTGCAGGCGTGTTTGTGAAGGGGGGTGGTCGGGAAGGAGCGGGCGGTGGAGGAGCGACGGTGCTTGAAGAGGTGGACAGGATACTGCTAGAAGAGGTCCACAGTGTGCTGCTTGACAACGCTGCGGCTGTGAATGGGAGGGATGGTGATGGTGGTGGTGGTGGTGGTGGTGGTGGTGGTGGTGGTGGTGGTGGTGGTGATGGTGAGAGGGAAGGGGCTGCTGCTGTGGGGAACACGAATCCCCGTTCCCAGGCACTAGGTGTGATGCGGTCGTTAATGCTGCAAATGGCTAATGAGAGGATTGCCACGTTTGACATCTTCGCACGCATGTGCCCGGGCTTTGCTCGTGCTGCTGGGCGTCCCGCAACAGCAGCAGCAGCTGGTGGCGATGTTGCTGCTGCTGCTGCTGCTGCTGCTGCTGGTGATGCTGCTGCTCATGCTGCTGCTTCTGATGTTGGGGATCCTGCTGCTGGTTCAGATACGGCTGCTGCTGCTGCTGCTGCTGCTGCTAGTTCTGGGTCTCCTGTTGTTGCTGGCAGCTCTTCCATTGCTGCCGCTGCTGTTGCTGGTGCGAGTGCTGCTGCTTCGGTAGGAGAGGGTAACCCTGGTGCTACATGTGCGACAGCAGCAGATGGAACAGCAGTCATGGGTGATGCAGCAGCAAGAGGGGGCAAGCGGAAGGAGGAGTTGTCAAAGCATCACAGCAAGGAGAGGGAAGGCATGACGATGCATCGCAGGAGAAAGTAGCGGTTACAAGCCTCGAAAACATGAGCGGTGGCAGCAAGTCAAATAGCGGCCAAGATTCAATCAGCAGAAGCAGAGACATAACTCCTAACACAAGCAGGGTAGGGGAACCCACTGATACGAGAAAAGGCATTTCTGGAACCTCTGTGGAAGTTATCAGCCCGCCCCTGAAGGCCTTATGTTTACAAAATTTTCACTTCACTGCCACTCCCGAGCCTACCTGGCTGCCTCGGCACCTCCCCTCTACTTCCCCTCCCATGTGTCTCACCTCCCCCAGTCCACCCTCCTCCTCGACTTGTTCCTCTTCGCTTCCCTTCTCGAGCACAAGCGCCCTGCCACAGACCTACGAGTCCCTCTCTCTTGCAGCAGCTTTCAAAAGGTTGAAGCAACTCTCTCTGCTGTCTTGCTCTGGACCGGAGGAGGAGCAGATGGTGCTGCTGCTCGGAGCTTGTCCCGTTCTGGAATTACTGGTGGTGGAAAACAATGAATGCTTCTCAGACCGGGTGGTCGCACGAAGCAGGCTGGAGAGTCTGACGCGGTTGAGCATGGTTGGATGCGGTGCCATCACTGCAGCTGCCATCGGGATGCTGCTAGGAAGCTTCCCTAGGTTATGGCGTTTGAATGTGGAGGCAAGCAAGGTTGAGGCAAGGGATCGAAGTGAGCTGCTCCGTGCAGGAGTGATTCTCGAATAAGGCAGCGAATAATGGAGTGAATAACCTGCCATATAGACTGTGCTGCCGCATCTATCTGAGCGAGGAGTTGAACGGGATCGCACGGGATCACATGGAGCCAGTCCCCTGCCCCATAGCCAGAGAGCGATGACATGCTTCTCAGGTTTATGATTCTCGAAAGTCGCTTCGTGTGGGAGTGCTTCTTCGTCTGGTAGAGTATGTTGGAGTTTACAGGCTGTGCATGGCGGGGTTGGGTATACTTAAGTAACTTTTGGGTTCTCGAAACACTCTTCGTTCGTGCGGAATGATTATCAGGGAAGCAGTGTACATATTGGGGTTGAAAATTTTGCCAAACCATGCATGCATGGGGTTTTTACCGTATCAGAATCTGAGAAGTTCTTTGGTAATCCCCAGGGGGACTTGCATTACAACCCTTGTAGAGACTTCCCGATTGATAGGCAGGTGTGGAAAAAAAAAAAAAACAAGAGGCGACCAAGTCGACATAGGGTTGCGAAGCTTATTTGTAAATAATATATTTTGTTCTACTACGTACTTTCCTAGATTTCTTAGACATGACACATATCCAATATTGTGTTGACATGAAAAGGTAGCAGCAAGAATCAAACCGAAGACCAACGGCTTCTGACTTGAAATCCATACCACTGTGCTTCCACAACTGACTTCCAGGTGTAAAAATTAAACGGACCTGTTGAAAATGTTGCATTGATACAGAAGGCCGCGGCAAGAACCGAACCCGAGACCATTGGATTAAAACAAGATACTCAAACCACTGCGTTAACAGAACTACCTTCAACTTCCTTGAAATTTTGATAAGTAGTTTAATTGAAGCAACATTTCGTCCTCCAACATTTCGTTTATAACGATGAAAAAAAATTTGTACATAACGATTGTAATAGGTTGCTTCGCAACCCAAAAAGGGGCGGTACAAAGTGTTGCATTGCAAGGCCCACCTTGCGAGAATCATAAACCTGAGAAGCATTTGGAGAAATTTCCACTGCGGCTTCACTTCGAGCGTGTTCCTACGGCCTCGTATCAGGCAACCTTCTATCAGATTCGCGTCGAACCGCACTAAAACGCATCCAACCGCAGTCGAACACACTGAAACATATTTCACCGCGCAAAGTTGATACGAGGTGTTTCTGATACGTGGTGTAGGAACACGCTCTTAGAGCGTTGTTACGAATCAGGCACAGGAGCCTTGGCGAAGGCCAGTCAGCAGGTCGAGATAGCCTTGTGAATCCGGAGAAATCATACTGATGGAATGGGGAGAGGCAACACAACGCAAAGGGGGGGAGGGGGAGGGGGGGAGAGGTTCGTGTTGTTATTCTCGAATCACGAGGAGTAGTAAAAGCACCCCATGCAGCATCTCCAAGCAGGCAAGCACGGCACGACACTCCACTCACCCGTGTCTTATAAGGAAGTCGATAATAACGAGGTTGCAGTTCGCCTTGTACTCCTTAGTGTTGGCCACGATATTAGCCACAGCTTCAATTGGCAGCAGGGAAAACTCTGCTACCTCCCCATCTGTTGGTGGGGAAGTTATGAGAAGAAAAGTTAGGGAGAGAATGAGAATCAGAGCAGCAGTGGGAGACATTGCAGGGCAGTAGATTTCAAAGCTTTCAGCAAAAATGTTGAATCCTTGAGAATATAAGCTGCAATGAGAAACCTGTATGTCATTCTGTAGCAAAGTCTATATTGTGTTTGGAGCCGGCTCGAAACACATGGGGAAGGGGTGCTTGGGATTGACAAACACGAGGATGGCTTCAAAGGCGCCTGAAATGTCAAGAAAGGGGCAGGGAGAAACAAACATACATGTATGTGCACGCACCTGTGTTCCTGGGAGTGAAATCGGGTGGCAGCAGGAGGTCGTAGCAGAAGAGCACGTCCCTCTTGAGCGTGTTTGCTGCTGTCACTGTCTCATAGCTCACCACTCCCACTGGCACTGCCCTTCATTCCACCCAGTCAAGCCCATCTCATTCCATATCATACCATTCCATACCATTCCATGCCATCCATCCCATCCCATCCCATTCCATCCCATCCCATCCCATCCCATTCCATCCCATTCCATTCCATTCCATTCCATTCCATTCCATTCCATTCCATTCCATTCCATTCCATCCCATCCCATCCTATTCCATCCCATTCCATCCCATTCCATCCCATTCCATCCCATCCCATCCCATCCCATCCCATCCCTCATCTCATCCGATCCCATCCCATCCCATCCCATGCCATGCCATGCCATCCCATCCCATATTATCCCATCCCATCCCATCCCATCCCATGCCATCCCATCCCATGCCATCCCATCCCATGCCATCCCATCACATTCCAATCATAACGCCAACCGCGGAAATGACAAGACAAGAGGCAGGTAAATCAGGCACGCCAGCAACCGCACCTGAGGGTTAAGCCACAAAGAAACCAGGGAAATGCGCGATGCTCTGCCATTTAGACAGAAACGATTGACACAAGCACAACAACAAGCAGTGTGAGAAGCACCTAGGTTGCACCAGGTGATCAGGGCAGTTCTGTGGATTCAACAACAGCAGATCGTTCCATGGCATTTCTCATGCTGTCTCTCTAATCTAAGCAGCCTAAAGCACCGTCTCATGTCTCGCACAATCTATCGGTTGCTACATCCCTGTCTTGAGCTGTTGTTCTATATTTTAATTAATTTAATCTAATGGTCAGGAGGAAATTCTGCCCCGTTTCCGGCATCAAGGCACTGCTCCTCACCTCTCTGCCAAGTGCCTTGGAATGTCCGCCTCCTCCTCACACTCCTTGATCATGTTGTCCCTGCAGCTGATGCCGTGGGGCTGGGAGGAGGGAAGAAGGAAGGGAGTGGGGTGGAAAGGCGGAAATGTTGATGCGCTGATTTGTCTGCTTCCTCCTCACACTCCTTGATCATATTGTCCCTGTAGCCGATGCCGTGTGGCTGGGAGGAGGAAGAAGGGATGGAGAGGGTTTGAGATGTCAGCGGAAATGGAAAGGATTACACTGAAAAGGGAGGGTTATGCAACTTGTCCTGTGACGTCTGCACGACTTAGCAGAACCTCAAATCGAGCAATCACTCCCCCATCAACCCTCTCGCCACATCCATCCTCTTGCTTCTCACCTGCCCGCCTGCCACCAGATGATCCAGCTGGTTGGGGAACGTGGGCTTTAAGGGGGACCGCCGTGCCACCCACAGATGGAGAGAGGAGGAAGAGGAGGAAGAGGAGGAGGAAGAGGAGGAGGAGGAGGAGGAGGAGGAGGAGGAGGAGGAGGAGGACGGCAGGTGTGTGTAGCCGTTCATGTGCACGCCATATGCCTTGGTGCCGAAGAGAGGCGCTGCTGCTCGCTCGATGAGAAAGGCTGGTGGTGCATGGAAGGAGGCACTGACTGGATACAGCTGAAGTGAGGGTGGGGGAAAGCGGGGTAGATGGGGGGAGAGGTAGGGAAGATGGGGGGTCGAATTGCTGCTGCTTGCTCGATGAGGAATGCTGGTGGCGCATGGAAGGAGGCACCCACAGGCTACAGCTGTGGGGAGGTAGGAGGAGGGGCGAGGGAAGTGAGGGGGGAGGTGGGAGGAGTGAGCGGAGGAGTGCGGTTGCTCCCCTAACAGCACTCCCCTCTCTCTCCTTGCATCACACACCCCCGCTCTCCCTCATCATACACTCGTCATCACACCCCCCTTTTCTCCCCGCACCGCACTCCACCGCTCTCCACTCACCTCGTTACGCCAGCCAGTCACCACGCCTTGCTCGCGCAGCCGCTGCAGCACCCCTGCCACTGCCTCTGTGCGCTCAGCTGCCCCAGCTGCCTCCAGCCGGCCTGAAAACGACAGCACTTGCCCACCAGCAGCAGTTGTGCCGCCAGTGCTTCGAATGACAAAGACGTCTCCAAATGGCTCCAGATGCGGCCAGAAGCTTCAATGCGTGAAGGGATGGCGCACAAGGCAAAGCGGGCCGCGTGGGTGGGTGAGCGAGTGACAAAAGGCACCAAAAGCTTCAATGCGGACGGGGAAATGCCGTGAGTGAGAGGACAGAGAGATATAGATTACACTGCAATCACAAGTTAATGAAAACGCGCTGTAATTGGCTTGGCATGGAACTTGTAACAAGACCAGCTACACAAGTTATTGTAATTGCCTTTGATGGATACAAATACCTTGTCGGTTTGCCGATAAACTACAGCTACTAATATGCTTTAGTCACGCCATTATGCTCTCACCTGTGGTGAATGTACCCCACAACCTCCCCGTTCACAACAAAGGGAATAAACTCTGATCGACGCTCCTGAGAAGAATGAGGCAAGTGGGGGTGGGGTGAGAAGCTGGGAAGGTTCGTCTGGTTCGCTATAAGCTGTGCTGTTAGGGAGAGGGTCTTGTCCTAGGGGGGAAAGGTGGAAAGATCTGAAGGAGGAAGGATTTTTTTATGCGTTCAGTTCAGCATGCTCGTGAGGTGATGTGATGCACAGTTAATGGTAAGAAACGTGCATGCACGCAAATCACGCATATGCTTTGAAATATCCCAATCCTGCCCATCAACCCACCACCAAAGCCACAGCTAACAACCCAGAAAGGCACACATCTACCCATATACCGACCAGCTAGCCACGCCTCCCACCAACCCACTCTCACAACGCCTCATCTCCCCACCCGCCCACCCACCCTCGCAGCCCCAAAATTCCACCCTCCTTCCATCCCCCCAACCTCCCGTCTCCCATTCTCCCCCTCACCACCCACCAGCCCCGCGTTGCACTCGCGGACCCGCGCCATGTATCCCGACAGATCTTCCGGCAGATGCGCGGAAACTTGCGCCAGGTTTAGCGGCGAAGCGGGGCCGGCGGCGGAAGCGGAAGCCGATCCCCGCCGGATCGACCCCCCCGCAGCTGCGGACGGTGGAGATCGCGCGGAAACGCGGTGCGAGCGGGAAACGGGGGAGATGCAGGGAACCCGCGGAATGTAGGAAGTGCCGGAAGCTGTTCGGGGGAGCTGAGGAACGTGGGGGATGCGGGACGCGGGGAAAATGGTTCTCTTCGCAGGGATTTGCGCTGGAAACCCGCGCAGAGAGTGAGTAGCGGAAAGGGAGTGGGTAGCCAGCGCGCGGGGGTTGGTGAGCGGAAGCGACGATTTCCCCGCTGAATGTGATTTTAAACACGCGGGGATCGCGCGGGAGCGCAGAGGACAGCGGAGCGCCGCCATTGTGTGGCGGAAGATGCGGTAGCGCTGTGGGGGCTGGTGTTGACGTTGGTGTAGGTCTGGTTGGCGACGAGGTGAAGTGCCAAGCGATTGTGGTGGGATGCGACGAAATGGCAACACGGCATTACCAAAAAGAGAGTTTTCGCCGCTCCCGTCATAACTTCCCCATGAGCATATCTTAGGGCGACGTTAGGTTATACATTCTGACGTCGCCCTTACGATTCGTTACAACATTTATAGTCGGATGTGAAACACAAGAAATTCTATCCAGAACATGAGGCAAAGGTCTAGTCACAGGTGTTCGTTCTTCAGCAAGGCTTGAAAAAAGAGGGACAGAGTTTGTAGCCAGCTTGCATTATCAACGACACGAGTTGCATTTAGCATTTCCATGCCAATTGTTATCCAGCCTATACCCATCTAATATGGAAGCCTGTAACACCAACTATACAAGTTCCACCCTATGTTTCCAACCGAATCATCTCACGCGGACGGCACAATCAGCCCTCTACTGCGCATGTACACCACCGCCAGAATAAACGACGCGATACACGCTACAGTGCTCCCAATCACAACATAATAGAACACGTTGTAATTGGACGGAACCTCCGGGTCGAAATACGAGCACTCGATGTTCATCCCGAACACGCCCGTGACGACGATGAAGAAGGAGATGAAGAGTGTGGCGGTGGTGAGCAGCACGTTCATCTGCAGCAGACTGTTCTGCTTCTCGTCCAGCATGATGTTTATGTAGTCCTCCGTGTCCTCCACATATTCTCGTAGCTGCGCAGAGCGGTGCAGTGCGGTGGAGAAGGGTATAGAGCCATACATAGGGGCACAAAGGGATACAGAGGGGCACAGAGGGGTACAGAGGGGTAGAGAGGGGTGTTGTGCAGAGAGTGAGGCGATGAAGGAGATGAAGAGTGTGGCGGTGGTGAGCAGCACGTTCATCTGCAGCAGGCTGTTCTGCTTCTCGTCCAGCATGATGTTGATGTAGTCCTCCGTGTCCTCCACGTACTCTCGTAGCTGTGCAGAGTGGTGGAGAGGGGTAGACTGGAGTAGAGACGGGTATAAAGGGGTATAGAGAGCGTTAAATGGGTACAAGATGTTGATGTGGTCCTCCGTGTTCTCCTTGTAACCTTGCACAGGAGTGTAGGGGTATAGAGGGGTAGAGCTGAATACAGGGGCAATGGGGTATAGAGGGCAAGTGAGGGTTATGATGTTGATGTGGTCCTCTGTGTGCTCTACATGATTCTGACCTCAAGGGTGAGAGGTATGGAAAATTGGGAGTAGCTCAGACAGGAAAAATGCACATTTGCATGACCATTCATTTGCAATGCAACTCCAACGTGTCGTCCGTTTGTTGCTGGTGCATTCACATGACACCACATTCACATACATATGATAGCTCAGGCCATGATGATAACTCCATACCATGATGATAGCTCCAAGCCATGATGATAGCTCCAAGCCATGATGACAGCTCCAAGCCATGATGGAGATGACAGGTGAAGGTACAAAACTTGGAAGATATCCATGTACCAATCTAGCAGCATCATGACCTCCTCACTGTCCCACGGAGATGACAGGTCAACAGCATTTGAGCGATAAGCCATCTACCTACCGATGATAACTTGTTGAGCGTGCCTTCGATGTGCACAAAGTATGCCTCTAGAAGCATCTACAGCTCCTCCAGTCCACGTTCCACTCCACTCAACTCAACTCACACATGATAGGTCAACGGTCTACCACAAGAATTCACATACCGATGACAGCTTGTTGAGAATGCCTTCGTTTTGCACAAAGTACGCCTCCAGCAGCACCTCCAGCTCCTTCACATCCCACTAATTCGCGTGTGATAAGTCAACAACACACATATGATAAGCCATCCACACATACCGATGACAGCTTGTTCAGTGTGCCTTCGATCTACACAAAGTACGCCTCCAGAAGCATCCCAACTCCTCCACATCCCACTCCACCCAATTCACACACGCTAGGTCAATGGTCTATGATGAGACTATGCGCGATACGGTAACAACACATACCGATGATAGTTTGTTGAGTGTGCCCTCAATCTGCACAAAGTAAGCCTCTAGCAGCATCTCCAGTTCCTCCACATCCCACTTCTTGCTCCCACTGCTGCGGCTGCTGCTGCTGCTACTGCTACTGCTGCTGCTGCTGCTGCTCCCACTCCTGCTGCTCCCGCTCTTCCCACTCCCACGACTGTGGCTGCGACTGTGGCTGTGACTGCGGCTGCCTCTGCTACCTCTGCTCCCTCTGCTCCCTTTGCTGCCACTCCCTCTACCGTCACTCCCTTCATCCGAACCAATCCCCCCTGTCCCATCTAGCCCTGTCCCATGCTCTGCAACACTCGGAAGGGAGTGTGTCGAGTGCTGGTGGTGGTCGGGGTGGTGTCCATGTGAGCGTGAGTGCGAGTGCGCACGAGCGTGGGAGTGAGAGTGGGAGTGCGAGTGGGAGTGAGGGTGTGAGCGGCCGCTAACAGCAGAGGCGGAGAGGTGGGGGAGGAGGGGAAAGCTGGAGGAGGCTCCCCTGGTGGTGAGATTAGTGCGGGGCGAATGGACGGTCGGATTTGACTGCTGGGAGGAAGACGAGCGGCGGCGCTGCGATCCTGTGCTTGCATGGCCATGCCGACCGATTGCTAGCAGCAGCGGCTCTTGTGCAGCTGACCCTGTGCCCTCCAAACCTGCACCCTCCGAACCTGCATCCTCCGAACCTGCACCCTCCGAGCCTGCACCCTCCGAGCCTGCACCCTCCGAACCTGCACCTTCCGAGCCATCTCCATCCGAAGCTACGTTATCCAGGTCAGGAGGAGAAGCACTACCAGAGCTCGGACACTCCTCCCCCTTTTCAGAAACCCCATCCCCTCCTCCTCCCCCTCCTCCTCCTCCTCCTCCTCCTCCACGGGCAGAGGAGCCAGAGTGGGATGGCACACCAAAACTGAAAGTTTCCTCTGCCCGTCCGTGCACGTGCTGCTGCTGGTGCAGGTGCAGCAGGCGCTGCCTCTCCTCCTCCTCACGCATCTCCTCCTCCTCCTGCTGCTGCTGCTGCTGCTGCCGCTGCTGCAGCAGCTTGTCTGTGAGGTACATCTCGTCCATATCCTCGTCGTCGTCCAACAGTTGTTCTAGCTCATCTCGAACCTGTTAATAGAGGGGACACAGTAAAGCAGGGCACACAGTGCAGTGCAGCAGCTTGTCTGTGAGGTACATTTCATCCATGTCCTCATCGTCGTCCAGAAGTTGCTCTAACTCGTCTCGAACCTGCCAATAAAGGGTACACGACAAAGCAGGAGAAACGGTGCAGCGGCTTGTCCGTGAGGCACATCTCGTCGTCGTCGTCCTCGCCCCACACTGGCAAGGCAAGTGACGGGGATTTAGTAGAGCAGGGGGAACGGCAAATCAGGGGTGGTGGTGCAATAGCTTGTCTTGTCTGTGGGTGAGGTACACCTTGCCCTGACTTTTGAGTCGCCTCAAAAGTCACCGCGGCCAGAGATAACAACAAGGCGGTCCTTGGCCTGGCGCACCCTTTCCAGGTTAAGCGTTGAGACGAGCACACGCCTGGTAAGATTGCGCGCGCCACCTCACCAGCATGCTGCAAGCACCCACCTAGTGCACCCTCACAGCCCTCACAGCCCTCACAGCCCTCACAGCCCTCACAGCCCTCACAGCCCTCACAGCCACACCTTCTGCACGCGGCCCGAGATGACAACGAGGCGGCTCTTAATCTGCCGCACCCTCTCCAGGTTGAGCGTTGACACGGACGCCGTCAGCTCGTCCAAAGCTGGATAGGCTTCCTGCTCCACCCGGGTGGTCTGCGCAATGAGGCGGTGAATGGGGGGGAGGGGGGAGCAGCGGGAGAGATTGAAGTGAGGAGAGCAGAAAGGGCGGCTCTTAATCTGCCGCACTCTCTCCAGGTTGAGCGTTGACACGGACGCTGTGAGCTCGTCTAGTGCTGGATAGGCTTCCTGCTCCACCCGGGTGGTCTGAGCAATGAGGCGGTGAATGGGGGGGACGGGAGCAGCGGGAGAGAGGGGAGTGAGGAGAGCAGAAAGGGCGGCTCTTGATTTGCCGCACTCTCTCCAGGTTGAGCATTGACACGGACGCAGTCAGCTCGTCCAAAGCTGGATATGCCTCCTGCTCCACTCGGGTAGTCTGAGTGAGGGGGGGAGAGGAGGAAGGGAGTGGAGAAAGGGCTGAAAAGGGTGTGTGAATGGGGAGAGCAGTGAGGGGAATGGGGTCGGGGAAGAGGGTTGGAGAGAGAGGGGAGCGGATGGCTCTTGATCTGCCGCACCCTCTCCAGGTTAAGTGTCGACACGGACGCAGTCAGCTCGTCTAGTGCTGGATATGCCTCCTGCTCCACTCGGGTGGTCTGCGGAGGGGAAGAGGGATAGCAGTGGGAGAAGAGGGGTGCGGGAAGTGGGGTGGAGGGAGAGGGGAGCGGATGGCTCTTGATCTGCCGCATCCTCTCCAGGTTGAGCGTTGAGACAAACGCCGTCAGCTCGTCCAGTGCCGGGTACGCCTCCTGCTCCACGCGGGTGGTCTGGAAGCAAAGGGAAGCAGGAACAGGAAGCAGAGCGGAACATGAATGGGGAGTGAAGGGACACCCTCTCGTGGTTGAACAATGCCACGAACGCTGTCAACTCGTCCAGTGCCACGTATGCCTCCTGCTCCCCACGAGGTATACCTTCGTGTTTTGACTCGACTCAAAACTCCAGTCAGGTGATCTGGAAAGGGCAAGGGAATGGGGAAGAGGAAGGCATCGAACCCCAGCAACACTAAACCTGAACAACATTCGTCTCAGCAACGCTTACCTTAGCATCGATCGTGCCACAAGCAGCCTCCAGGCACACCAGGCGCCCAGCGCCCAGTGGTGGGCCCAGCTGCCCCACTGGGCCAGCCCTCACCTCAGCATCGAGGGTTCCACAGGCAGACTCCAGGCACACCTCCAGAGCGCGGAACCCAAAGGGGAATACCTCGGCGCTCACCAGCACCCAGTGCCCTACATGACCCTCAGGCCCTCACCTCGGCATCAAGGGTTCCACAGGCAGACTCCAGGCACACCTCCAGAGCGCGGAACTCAAAGGGCAGCGCGTTAGGCCCTCGCCACGCCATGCCCCCCGCTTCCATCGGTGCTGCTCCCAACCCCTCTGTTGTTGCACCTGCTGCTGCTGTTGGTGCTGCTCCTGCTGGCGGTGGTGCTGCTGCTACTGCTGCTGACGCTGCTGCTTGTGGTGCTGATAACGGTGGTGAGATGGTGGGCGTGGGTGGTGCGGCAGCAGCAGCAAGGTTGGCAGCTGCAGCAGCAGAGGAGGGTGGAGGGGGAGGAAACGAGAGTAGAGGAATGCTTGCAGCAGCATGGGCAGACACTGATGCTGAGCTGGCAGCTGCTGAGGTGGCGGTTGCTGAGGTGGCAGCTGTTGAGGTGGCAGCTGCTGAGGTGGCAGTTGCTGAGGTGGGTGCGGCAGCAGCAGCCACGGTTGCAGGAGCAGGAAGGGAGGTTGAGGGGGGCGAGAGAGTGAGAGGGGGGATGAGCTCATGCCCTAGCACCTGAGAGAAAAAGGGGAGCAGGAAAAGAACGGCGGGGAGGAGAGGACTGTATGTGGTGGAGCAGGAAAAGAAATCCAAAAGTGAACCTTCAGTCGCTTCGCCATGGCCCACCACCAGCCACCGCTAGGCGCATGACCGGGCTTTAAGGAAGGGAAGTAAACCTGGGATGGGAGGGAGTGAAGTGAAGCAGCAAGAGGAACAAGTACCTGCAGCTGTTACCTCACCACACTTGCTTGCTGTGCTACCTGCTGGCCTGCAGCACTCGAATGCATCGGCAGGTAGGCGTGCCTGGAGCTCCTTCACCACCCACCCACCCACCCACCCACCCACCCACCCACCCACCCCACATGAATTTGCCAAGAGATGTGTGCTGTGCTGTGCATGGGAGGGAAGCATGCACACACCTTATCCAGCGAGCCTCACCTCACCTGCTGGCCTGCAGTGCTCGAATGCATCGTCAGGCGTGCCTGGAGCCAGGAGCTCCCCCCACCCCACCTGCCCACCCTCTCCTCTTCCACCTGCCCACCCTAGCCACCTGGAAGTGCTGCGCTGCCAGATGTGCTCTGCTCAGCATTGGGACTGGTGGAAGGACACATGCTCGCATCTTGTACGTGCTGTCCTTACCAAACTTGCTTACTTTGCTATCTGCTGGCCTGCGGCATGAAGGAGCAGCGGCAGGCGCTCATTGAGCCCCTCCACTCCACTACCCCCTCACCACCTGGAAGGGCCGAAAGATGTGCCGCGCAGTGCAGTGCAGTGCAGTGCAGTGCAGTGCAGTGCAGTGCGGTGCAGTGCAGTGCAGTGCAGTGCAGTGCAGTGCAGTGCGGTGCAGTGCAGTGCAGTGCAGTGCAGTGCGGTGCAGTGCAGTGCAGTGCAGTGCAGTGCAGTGCGGTGCAATGGGAGGGAGACATGGACGTACGCACCTTTGTAGCAGCTAGTAGACATGAGCGAGCAACGCACGAATCCGAACACGTTTGACTCGAACCTTTCCGAACATGTCAGATTTTCGAACCGAACATGTTCGGTTCGTTCGAACAGTTTTGCAGAAAACGCATGTTGGAGAGTTCGCTTTCAGAGGCAAACAATTAGATGTTCGCCTGAACACTTCAAGGCTCGTGGCGAACTCGAACATGTTCGGCCCGAACTCGAACATGTTCGGTCGAACGTTTTTGGCAAGAAATGAAGGCATGTTCGGTTCGATTCGAACACGTTCGAGTCGAACCGAACAGGCGTTCGAAAAATTGCTCATGTCTAGCAGCTAGCCTTTTCACCTGGTGGCCTGCTGTGTGGAGGTGTAGACAGGCAGGCGCGTCTTGAGCTCGTCCACTCCACCAACCGCGCCACCGTAATGGTAGTGCCGCATGTGATGTGCCTCGAGATGTGTGCGCTGCAATGGGACCGATGGAAACATGCATGCACCTTGTGGTGCCTGCTGCCCTCACCACACACACACCTGCTGGCCTGCGGCATTGAGGTGCAGTGGCAGGCGCGCCTTCAGCTCCTCCACCACCCGCGCCACCTGGAAGTTCCGCCAGTTGAGCAGCAGCACCTCCTCCGCCATTATTATGCACTGAGGAGGAGAGAAGGGCGAGATTGGGGTAAGAAAAGGGGGGGAAGTGTGCATGCAGGGATGGAAGAAGGGGAGAAGCGAGGAAGTTCCGCCAGTTGAGCAGCAGCACCTCCTCCGCCATTACTATGCACTGAGAGGAATAGGGGAGGGGTTGGGTGGGCAAGGAGGACGAGGGGTATTGGGGGGGTAGGGCAGGAGGTGGTATGGGGGGAGCAGGGCGTGAGCGGTGGAGCAAAACCAGTTGAGCAGCAGCAACCCCTCCGCCATTATTATGCACTGGACGGGAAAGGGGAGGGGTTGGGGGGAAACGGAATGGGGTATGTGGGAGAGGGGGATGGGGAAAGCTGGGAGGGATGGGGGAAAGCTGGGAGGGATGGGGGAAGCAGGGAGGGATGGGGGAAGCAGGGAGGGATGGGGGAAGCAGGGAGGGATGGGGGAAGCAGGGAGGGATGGGGGAAGCAGGGAGGGATGGGGGAAGCAGGGAGGGATGGGGGAAGCAGGGAGGGATGGGGGAAGATGGGAGGGATGGGGGAAGCAGGGAGGGATGGGGGAAGCAGGGAGGGATGGGGGAAGCAGGGAGGGAGAGAGAATCCACGATCTGCTCCGGATTTACCCCGATGGATTCACCCAGATTCTCCCTGGCAACGTGGAGGGGTAGGAGAGCAGCGGGTGGATGGAGCATGCATGCAGAAGGCACGTGGCACTGCGGCAAGTAGAAAAGCATTTGCAGAACAACTCTCACTCACCTTGATGTGCTCCAGATTCACCACGATGGCTCGCTCGCGGCCCAGCAGCGTGGAGGGGTAGGAGAGCAGCGGGTCGAGAATGCGGAGGTCGCGCGCTGGGATGGAGCAGCGGCGCATGATGGCGTACTTGTCCGCCTCTATTACCTGGGGGGAAGGGGAATGGGAGGCATGGGGGAAACGGGAGGCATGGGGGAAACGGGAGGCATGGGGGAAACGGGAGGCATGGGGGAAACGGGAGGCATGGGGGAAACGGGAGGCATGGGGGAAACGGGAGGCATGGGGGAAACGGGAGGCATGGGGGAAACGGGAGGCATGGGGGAAACGGGAGGCATGGGGGAAACGGGAGGCATGGGGGAAACGGGAGGCATGGGGGGGTCGGGAGGCATGGGGGGGTCGGGAGGCATGGGGGGGTCGGGAGGCATGGGGGGGTCGGGAGGCATGGGGGGGTCGGGATGCATGGGAGTTGGGCGGCGCTTGCATCAGTGCGGCCTGAACGTCTCTCAGCCAGCCACGGCCTCACCCCATCCACGGCCTCACCCCATCCACGGCCTCACCCCATCCACGACCTCACCCCATCCACGGCCTCACCCCATCCACGACCTCACCCCATCCACGGCCTCACCCCATCCACGGCCTCACCCCATCCACGGCCTCACCCCATCCACGGCCTCACCCCAGCCACAGCCGGCGTTCTTCATAGGCGCCTTCCCTACAACTACCCACCTGCGTCTGCCCTGATTGGTCGATCCGCAGCCACGACCGCGCGCCAGCGCCCTTGTTCCGCCGCACGCCCAGCAGCCCGCGCTCGCGCTCGCGCTCCTTCCCGTCCTCCCGCTCCGCCTCCTTCCGCCTCTCCTCCGCCTTCCCCTCGTCCATCTCGCCGTCCGCCGCAACCGCCGGCGACGGCGACGGCGAAGGTGGGACGACCAGCCGTTTCTTGCTGCCGCTGCGGCCCAGGAGCCGCGCCTTCGGCTTCATTGTCGCGAATCGCCTGTCGAGGAACTCTCAGTAGCTGCTGCCGCTGCGGATGCTCCTACTACTAGGGTGCGCAACGGTACGAACTTATGAGCTTCCTGAAATTTAGGGCGGGTGTACCTCCGATTGGGGTTGAAAGATGTTTGAACCTGAATCAGAGCGGTCTAATTAATAAAAGAGATGGTTGGGTAGGGTTCTTAGCTTAGACGTCTAGTCCACCCCCACGGGTTGTCGGTGGGATGCTCTGAGACGACGATGCCAGGGTTGAACACGGTAAATATATTTATCGTCGTTTTCAGAAACGTTATAGCTCGGTTTAGAGCGTTGATCGTCCAAACTTTACACTTGCTCCCTAGATGCCCTCTTGGTAACACTGGTTATACCTGTGTTATGAGTTGTGAATGAAAGAGTGCGCAGAATTCAATAACGCGGAAGTGATTACAACGTCTGAATGAACAACGAGGCCTAGGCACAATATAGCAAAGCTAGCTAGGCCGAGGTCGCGGGGTCGCGAGATGGTTGGGTGCAGGTTCGGGGTTGGAAAACCCGAAGGCGACGCGGTGGTGGCTCGGAAGGCGAGGTCGGCGGACCGAGCCTGGTTTTCCGAAAGTCGGGGTTGTACGCGTACGGAGTGACCCAGTAAGGAATCCGAAAAATTCCTTACACTACCCCCCCCCCCCCCCCCCCCCCCCCCCCCCCCTTAAGAAAGGTGGTGAATATCCGAGACACCTCGGCGGGCCAGGTAAGCATCCACAACCGGATGTCCCAGTAACGAGTCTGCGGTGACGTACGTGTCGTCCTCGCTCGTGCGTTCTTTCCAGCGAAGCAGGAATTTCACCGAGCGGCCGGCGGCGGTGACGTCCACGCGATGGTTGAGAATCTTCCAAGGTTCCAGCGTGGGTTCTGCTACGGGACGGGTGGTCGGCGCGATGGTTGGCCGAGCAACAGCTGGCGACTGCGGCTGTTCGTAATGACGCAGTAGGCTGACGTGGAACGCGTCATGAATTTTCCAGTCGTCGGGTAGCAGCAGCTTCGCGGTGACAGGTGTCACCATCTGGATGATCCGAAATGGTCCCACGTATCGGGGCCGTAATTTCGCGGGCTGCGGCAGCCGGACGAAGATTCTTGGTGTCCAAGAGCACAACCTGCCCTGCGCGGAAGGGTAAATTCCGTCGATGCTTGTCCGCCTGGCGGCTGGCTGTGGTATTAGGGTACATTCCGCTGTGGACATGCGTCCCAATCGATGTGTCCCAATCGGGTGTACCGCTCCGAACCGCACTAAACCAGAGAAGCGAAAATTTTGAAACTAGGGTGTAATTCGGTGTAATAAGATTCAGTGCGGTAGAATCGATTGGGACACATCGATTGGGACGCATGTCCACAGCGGAATGTACCCTTAGCCCGTCGAATAAACTCAGCTGCTTTCGTGCGGGCGGTCTGTAGTTCCGTGACAAACTGCTGCGAGCGTGGTACCGGGTTGTCTACAGTCGTTGAAGAGGGTACCACGGGGTCTATCCCGTAATTTAGGAAGAAAGGCGATTGTCGAGTCGTGGCCGACGGGGCGTTGTTGTACGCAAATTCCAGCATCGGCAGCGAATCCTCCCACTTGCGGATATCTGGGCAGTTGGTGCGAACTAGTTGCTCCATGGTCTGATTTGTCCGTTCCGTCTGTCCGTCGGTTTGCGGGTGGTATGACGACGAAAACTGCAGGCGGGTACCGTACTGTGCCCACGTCTCCTGCCAGAACTTCGACGTAAATTTCGGGTCTCGATCGCTGATGATCGCCGAAGGTAACCCGTGTAGGCGTACGACGGTGGAGATGAACAGTTTGGCTGTATCTTCGGCTGTGATCGTCGTTCGGCATGGGGCGAAATGCGCCATTTTCGTTAGGCGATCGACGACGACCAGCACCGAGTCGTTGCCACTCGCGCCAGCTGGTAAACCCCGTGACGAAATCCATCGTCACCTGTTGCCACGGTCGTTCGGGTGGCTCGAGGGGTTGCAGCAGTCCGGCTGGCCTTTGTCGCGACGACTTCATTGCTTGGCAGGTCGGGCAGGTTGACACGTAGCGCTGCACATCGGTGAGCATGTCCGGCCAGTAATAATTCCGCTGCAGCAGCTTCAGTGTTTTGTCGGTGCCGAAATGCCCGGAAAGGTTGGAGTCGTGAACCTCCTGCGTCAGCAGCTCCCGTAAAGGCTGGTATGCTGGTACCCAAATCCGGTTCGTACCGGCTTTTAGGTAATACTTGCCGTGCGGTGTAGCAGCCTGTTGTTGCGGGTTCCGAAAAAACCTGTCGATCTTGTAGCCGTGGGTGAATAGTCCCGTCAGCATCGGGTTGGTGTGGGCGATTAGTACCGCCGCATTCTGCATGGATGGCCGGGTGAGGGCGTCGGCGATGTTGTTGGCGCCCTTTTTGTACGTGATGTTGTACCGAAAATTGTACTCGAGGAAGTCCAACCACCGAATTTGTCGGGGTTGAGTGTCGGTTGCGTGCGCATGTACTGTAGTGATTTGTGGTCGGTCCGAATGGTCACGTCGGCTCCCGTGAGGTAGCAGCGCCAGACGCGGAATGCATGGACGATGGCCAGCATCTCCTTGTCGTGGACTGGGTAGTTGCGCTCGGGTGGCTGCATCTTGCGTGACTCGTAGGCGATGGGTTGCAGCCCTTGGCCGAAGTCCTGTAGCAGGACGGCGCCGACGGCGAAATCGCTGGCGTCCGTGACGACTTCGAACGGTCGAGATGGGTCGGCGAGGCGGAGTACCGGGGGTGACTTCAAAATGTTTTTGAGGGCGTCGAAGGCGGACTGCTCCCTCTCCCCCCACCGAAAATCACTGTCGTGGTGCAGCAGGTCGGTCAGCGGCTTGGTTATCCCTGCCATATTAGGTACAAAACGACGAACGTAGTTAACAAACCCCAAAAAGCTTTGCAACTCAGGGATATTAGTAGGCGGCTTCCACTTAGCGATGGCGTCCACCTTACGCGGGTCAATTTTGATCCCTTCGCCGGAAACCACGTGCCCCAAAAATTCTAACTCCGGTTTCAGGAACTCGCACTTAGACCCCTTCGTAATCAGCCGATGCCCCTGTAAACGCCGGAATATCTCCTCTAAATCCCACAGATGGTCCTCCTTTGTCGCGCTGTACACCAGGATGTCGTCCAGGTACACGATGACTTTCTTGTCCAGCATGTCCCGAAAAATCCCGTTCATGGTGAGCTGGAACGTTGACGGCGCGTTTGTCAGACCGAACGGCATCACCGTGAACTCGTAACTGCCGTAGCGTGTGCGAAAAGCGGTCTTCGGGCAGTCGTCGGCGAACACGCGAATTTGGTG